GAGGATGAGATAGTTGGATGGCATCACCGACTTGATGGACATGAGCAAGCTCCAGGAGATGGTGATGGACAGGGAAGCCTGGTGTGCTGCAATTCATGGGGTCACAAAGAGTCGGACATGACAGAGCGACTCAACAACAACTCTGCACCAAACATTCAGAGTGTGTGTATTCTTTTTGTTTGTTTTTTATTTTGGCCGTGCAGCGTGGCTTATGGGATCTTAGTTCCCCAAACAGGGTTCAAACCCAAGACTTCAGCCATGAAATAGCCAAGTTCTAACCACTGGACCTGCGTACTTTTTTTAAAACACTTTTTCTATTTCTTTAATTTTGTATCTATAAAAGATGAATATTCACAAAGCTTAACTGTAACAATCATTTCCTGATGTATGTAAGTCAAATTATTATGCTACACACCTTAAACTTATACAGTGCTGTGTGTCAATTAGATCTCAGTAAATCTGGAAGAAAAATTCAAAAAAAATATGAACATTTAACCTTTTCAAAAACTTCTGTGCCTGTGTATTCTTATTTAATTCTCCCAACCACTTGGGATATAGTGATATATAAAATGCTCAACATCTTATACAAGCAAAAACCAAGCCTGACAGGTTAGCAACATAATCTGCCCAAGGCCATATGGATACGAGTGGCAGGGTTTCCTGACTCCAACACCAGTGTTCTTTCCACTGTACCCGAACCTGGAAGAACATGTCTGATCAGAGGTCAGACCTCCCACCTCCCGCCTCCCTCCCCACCATACACTCTCCCAGACTAAGCTTCTGTCTGTGAGTATTGTACCCTTGACCCTGACCTGTGCCCCTCAGCCCTCCCCCTTCCCAATGCACAGCCCCTCCCCAGCCACACCCAACAACTCCCTGAACACCCCAGGGTCACTGCGGCTCTGGCCTCCAGCTCAGGTGTCCAAAGCCCAGCCCCTTCCCTTCTCCCAGGAGATCTTGGGTTCTGCAGGGGGTCACCACAGCCTCAGGGTTCCAGAGACCCCAGTCAGGGAGAGCAAGGCCTCCCAGGGCTCTGCAAAAAGCAAGCACGTCTGGACCCCGTGCCCAGAAATTCAGAATGAGCCAGTCTGTAGGGGACCCAGGTTTCAGTGTTTCTTTAAGACGCCACAGTGACCCTAAAGTGCAGCAAGATTTAGAAGCCATGCTCGATGCTCCAGGCAATTGCTGGGAGCTGGTGGGAAAGTGAAAGCAGGGCCCAGGCCTGAGGAAGGAGGGAGAGGACAACCTGAACCCCGTGGGTCTCACCCTCATGGTGCCTGGAGGTGCTGAAGGGCCTTCCTGCCTGGCCCTGGCTCAGCTGAACAGCAGATTTCCCCATCACATCTCATCTGGGGATCTGGGAGGCGGGTGGGGGGATGTAACCAATGCCCCAGGGGACAGATGAGGGCCTTCCACAAAGCGGGAACAGTGCCCGCCAGAAGATGGCTCGGGAGCTAACGGGTTAAGGGTCACAGCCAACCCAAAGCAGCTCCACCAGGCAGAGTCATCAGTGGGCTTTACGTCTGATGGACAGAATTTCATTTGCTCTCCTCCTCTCAGGGGCCCATCTCAGGAGTAAATCTGGGACCGGCTCCACAGAACCCAGATTGGAACCCAGAAAAACCCTGCCGGTACCGAAAGGCCTCCGCCCAGGGAAGGCATCCTGAACCTTACCATTATACCCTCCCTTTTGGGGAGAGAGAACAGGCCCCAGAGTTCCCCAGCACCACACCTCTCCCAGGATGGGTATACGGGGGATTGTGGGGCGGGGTGTGGTAAGGGGTCACCAGCATTCCTGGGGGAGGGTCAGGAATGAGAGGGCAAGGACCCCTCCCATCCCCAGCGGGGAAAGGAGCAGAAGGGGGCGCTGGCCACCAGGCTGGTTCTGCCAAGGACAGAGGCCCCGTGTCCTCATCGTCCTCCTCCAGAAACCCTCCCCCTCTCCAAAACCCCTGCTCTCCAGGGATGAATAGGAGGCCTGCACCTTCCCCTGCAGGGGCCTGCAACAGATGGAGGGGATCAAGACTTGCCAGCATGGTGGGCAGTGTGTTCACAGCACCCACAGCCCTGGGCATCTGACAGCACTTCCCCCCTGCCCCGCACCCCTGCAAGCCCACCTTCCTCACCCAGCACCTCTCAGCAGAGAGCCCAGCACAGCACTTGGAAACAGGAAGAGAGGGAGAGAGACAGAGACAGAGGGAGGGGAAGAGAGGAGACTCTTCTGTCCAGCCTGGCTTCTCTGCAGACCCAGGGCACCCACCGCCATCCCCACCCCCATCCTGGCACAGCTGGGCCAAGGGGTGGGGGGGTAAGGGAGGAGGCAGGGAGTCGTGGGACCCCACACCTGGCTTCTTACCCTCTGTAACCACCCCTCCCTGCCCCAGGGGGGGGGGTCTCAGGCCGAGTCACGGATGCCACAGACACCACACCTCCTCAAGAGGAGGAACCAAGGGCTGGAAGGATGAGCAGGGACCCACCGGGATCGAGCGATGCCAGGCAGGCAGGCGGCGGGCGGGCCGCAGTGGGTGTCGGAGACTGCCGCGGGCAGCCGGACACGACCGACTGGATGCTCGTCCCTCCGTCCCTCTGTCCATCCAGGGCGGCTCCTCTCTGGGCGGCTCTGAGGCCGGGCGGGCGCTGTTAAAAAGCTTTTTATGTGTGTGTGTGTTAATCACATGATTGCCGTTCACCTGTATTTCGAACAAAGACAGCTCACTGTTTCAAGGCCCCGAACAAGAGTCTGGGCACAGGGAAGAGAAGCGAGGCGGGGGGAGGAGGGTTGGCAGCGCCGGGGGTGGCGTCGAGGAAAACTGGGGGGAGATTGTCCAAGGCCGGCGAGCGAGAGAAAGAGAAAACCCTTATCAAACTCCTAATTCACTGGGCTCCGAGGCCCCAGACACACTGGCCCGATTGTCTGGCTGGTTGTGTGTGTGAGCATGTGTGTGTGTGTGTGTTTCAGTGTCCGCTCCCCCCACCCCCAACATGCCTTCGCCTCGTGTGACTACCTCATTGTGTCCCATTACCCACCCCCTCCAACACCCTTGGCCTTTCCCAAGCATGAGGCCTTGCCTGGACCCCCTTTTCAGCCCCGCTCCAGACACGACTCTCTTGGGCTGGGCCCGGGGCCTCGCCCAGCCGCTGAGGAGCTCAGAACCATCCATGGTCATCATCGCGGCCCCAGCTCCATCCATCCTCCTCACACACCCTCACCTCTGCCTCAGCACCCACCTTTTGAGAAGAGAGAGGGGCTGTGGTCTCAGAGGCCTGAGAAAGCCTTAGATGATGGGCAGGACAGAAAAATGAAGGAGTCACCCCGCTGGGGGGAGTGGGGTTGAGGGGAGAAGTGGGCAGCGAGGAAGAAGAGGCAGGGCGACTCCTCACCCTTTCTCGGGGTGGGGGAGTGGGGGGTGTCTTGACAACCAGGACTGGGACTCCCCCTACCAGGGTGGAGGGAGTTGGGTCCCAGGAAATGGGGCCCCAGGAGATTTTCAGACCTACTTGAAGAGGACCCCAGCCCAGCGCGGGCCCAGCCTCCCGCACACTTCAGTCTGTCTCTCTTGAACCAGCCCAGGCCTTGCGGTGCAGGGTGTCCAGTGAGAGGAGACTGGGGGTGAAGCCTGGGCATCTGCACTGGGCAGGGGGTATCCAGCTGTGCCCCGCTTCACCAGGTATAGACATGTAATCTTCCTCTCTCCTGCTGTCCAGGAAAGAGGACAGCCTGGGTGGGGGGTAGGAGGTGGGGTGAGACAGGCTGGCACTCAATAAGAGGTCTTAAGTGAAGCAACCAGTGCCACCCCCCACCATGTGACAGAACCGTCACCTGCCTTCTCCTCTGCCAGCTGCCCATTCCGACACCTGAGACAGAGATTGGGGGTCCCAGGTGGGCCCAATTTTCCCCCAAGGGATACGTTGTGACCCTGCCCACCTGCCTCCACAGGCTTTCCCGGCCTGACCACCCCCACTCCGACACCTTCCCAGGATGGGCCTGGGGGCAGCCAGCAGCGCAGGGAGCTGGGATGGGGGGGCCTGGCGGAGGAGCCCAGAGTGTTGGGGATGAAGGAAAGCGCTGGAGGCTCCACCTTCTGCCCTTCCCTCCCTCCCTCCCTCCCCTCCCCCTCCCCCTCTCCCCCCTCCTTCCTTCCCCAGCCCTCGGCGGCAGCTCAGCGCTCAGTCAGTCTCAGGCTGTCCGGCCAGGGTGGTTGGTGGTGAGGATTCAGGCTCCGTCCCGACAAGGCCCGTGGCCTGAGGCTCGGGGGCCCCCAGCCCCTCCCAATCAGCCCACCAGCGTCCCCCACCCCCGGCCCCCGAGCTGGACCGCACACCTTGGGACACGGTTTTCCACTTCCTCAGGACGAGCCCTAGACTGGAGGAGAGGTCCGAGGAGGTGAGTGAGTGCGCAGCCCGCTCCTCCCTTCCCGGGGCCCAGGCCTGGGACCCTGCGGAGGGGCGTGGGGCGGAGAGAAGCTGACACCGGCGTCTGCCCCCAGCCCAGTTCCTCTTCCAGTCCCCCGTCGGGGGTCAGGCGGAAGGGAAAAAAGGAAAGGTGAGCGAAAAGGTGGGAAATTCCAGGAGCCAGGATTAAAGCAGAAGAAAGAGTCCGTTTTTCTTCCTTTCCATCAACAAACCTCCACCCAAGAGGAGGTTTTTTTTTTTTTTTTTTAAGAAAAAAAAAAAAACAAACCGAACCCAAACCCACCCACAGCAAGAGGCGGTTGGGACCAGGTGGGGGAAAGACATGGAGGCGGGAGCTAAGAGGCCGAGCCCAGGCCTGGCATGTGCGCGGGTCCCAGGGGCTGCGGTGGGTTTAGGGGCAGCCGGCCGGTCCCACCTTAGGGCTGTGCCTGAGTCGCGTGCCGGGCCGCCGTCGGGGCTGCGCGCACGCCGCCCATCGCGCCCTCCTTCCCATCGTCCAGGTGAGCGTTGGACTCTTCGCCAGGACCCCGGCGGCGGGCCCCGGGGAGGCGGCCGAGGCGGCGGCGGCGGCGGCGGCCGGGGGCGACATGGCAGAGGAGCAGGACCTGTCCGAGGTGGAGCTGAGCCCCGTGGGCTCCGAGGAGCCGCGCTGCCTGTCCCCGGGGAGCGCGCCCTCGCTGGGGCCCGACGGCGGCGGCGGCGGCGGCGGCTCGGGCCTGCGAGCTAGCCCGGGGCCCGGCGAGCTGGGCAAGGTCAAGAAGGAACAGCAGGACGGCGAGGCGGACGATGACAAGTTCCCCGTGTGCATCCGCGAGGCCGTCAGCCAGGTGCTCAGCGGCTACGACTGGACTCTCGTGCCCATGCCGGTGCGCGTCAACGGCGCCAGCAAGAGCAAGCCGCACGTCAAGAGGCCCATGAACGCCTTCATGGTGTGGGCGCAGGCGGCGCGCAGGAAGCTGGCCGACCAGTACCCGCACCTGCACAACGCCGAGCTCAGCAAGACGCTGGGCAAGCTCTGGAGGTGAGCGCCCCCGACCCGCCTCCGGGGAGCTCCCGCCAGGCCCTCTACCCGCGGGTGGAATGGGGCGAAGCGCTCACGGCCTGGGCCCTTCTCCTGGGGCAGCCGCCTCCTCGACGGGACTGGATGGCCAGCTGAGGGATCGGGCCCGCCCTTCCCCCAGTACCCCCTTGGGGTTGCGCTCCCACCGATCTCCAGCGGCCTAGGCCCCGCTCCCCAGCCAGGGCACCGGGCTGGAAGGCGCCCCCTCGCGGTTGGAATTCTGCCGGTGGCAGGAGCTGGGGCCTGGGCTTCTGAGGAGTGGGCAAGAGTGAAGGTGGAAGGGAGAGAAGGTTGGTGGAGGCATCCACGCCATAGTTGTGCACTAACCCCATTCCCGCAGGTGCCACTCAAGGGTGCGACTGCCCCCGGGTCAAGGGGGATGCGAGGGAAACGTCTGGGAAAGAACTGAAGGCCTGGCTGGAGAGGCAGGGAAACTGAGGCAGCCAGGTGGAGAACTGCAGGGCTGAGATGAGGGCAGACAAGGAATTCAGGTCCGGGTCTTTGAAAGGGTGAGGGATGGGGGCCAAGCAGGCCGCTGCAGGTCCCTGTCCTACCCCAGCCTCCTCCTCTGCACCCTTCTGAGCACCCCTCCTTCAGGCCCAGGGCTTCTTCATTCCCCCAGCGAAGGGGACGTGTGGAGAGGAGACTCCCCCTCCCACCGGGTCCCAGAGCTGCCAGGCTGGTCTCTTCCCCTCCCTTCCTCTCCCAGTCCAGGCGCCATCTTCCTTTCCAGGGCCCCACCCAGGATTGAGTAACCTCCTACCCCTCCAGCCCTGGAGCTGAGAGCCCTGGCCAGGAGGAACGGCTGGCCCCTTTCCTACCCCGGGTCCCTCAGAGTCCCAAGTTTTCTGGAAGCAGCTCAAACTTTGGGGGAAAAACATGCCCCTGAGAAGGAAGTCGGCCTCACCTCTGGTCTGGGGTTTAGGCTGTTCCCTTGGGAGTACATTGTTGACCAACGCAACGCCACCCCCTCAAGAAGTCCTGGGCAGCTCAGAAAGAGAACAGGGGTTCCAGAAGGTGAAAGTCTGCAGAAGTTACCTGATTCCCCACTGGACTGTCCACGAGATAGGCCCAGGAAGGCAGAGGAGCTGCCCAGGCCATGTAACAGCTGGTGGCGGAGCCAGGGCCAGAACCAGGTCCCCTGACGCTTCAGCCAGTGGTCTTCCCACACACCATCCTTGGTGACAGAAGTGGGTCACCCCTACCCTCTACGACACAGTCCAGAGGTTGTGGGGTGAGAGCAGAGGAGAGCAGGAATGAGGAGCATCCAAGCTGCAGAGAGTGTCAGGGGAGCCTGCCACCCCTCCCCTTGCCGGCCCCAACACAGTGGAGCTTGGCCTAGAAGGCCAAAGGCTTAAGGTGGTGGAAGGAGCAGGAAAACCCCCAAGAGACCGAGAGGTATTCACATCCAGCCCCTTGGGCCTGGCCCTGGCCATGTGTTTGCTAAAGGCCTGGTGCTTCTTCCCCACACCCCTCAGCACTCGGCTCACCCCAGCAGGCCCTGGGCTCAGTGGTCAAGCTGCTGCATGGACTCAGAGGGTCTAGCCTTGCACAGGAGCAGAGGTCGAAGCCAGGTCCTCTGCCCAAGGTCCATCCACATCGTGGCAGGGTTTAGCCCAAGCCAGGACCCTTGGTGCCATGGGGCAGAGACGAGCAAGTCAGAGACAGACAACCAGGAGGGAGGCAGACAGGCAGACAGAACAGGCCTTGGGGACCATGAGCAGACCACAGTGTAAGCCCAGTGAGAGCATCAAGGCAAGGATGGACAGCCCCCCGCCCACCACTCCCCCACGCTGTTGCCAAGGATTTAAGGTTGGACCCTCCATCGTCCCTGTCTGCCCCTGTTCCCCCAGCCCAGAATCCCAGGTTGGGCTCCTCAAAGGGACTTGTTCCTGACCACCCCTCACCTCACGCTGTGTGCACCGGGGCCCAAGGTGACCCCCAGGGACCAACCTGAGTGGGGGGCGGGGGGCAGGCGGGAAACCAGGAAAGCAGGCACAGCTTACTCAGGACCCAACCCCAGCGGTGGGAGGGTGACCAGACAGTGACAAGGATCAAAGGCTACGCCAACAGGGGGTGGGCTACCTCGATCCTGGGTGGGGACCCCGGGAGACCTCTGAACTGGGTTAGGCTAGCCCACCTCTCCAGGGGCTTCTCCTGAAATCTGCACCCCCACCCCCACCCCCCACACCGGCTTATGAATCTCAGGCTATCAAGAAGGGGGATGGCTAGCTGGGCAGAACTGGCAATCAGGGGCTCTATACATGAAAAGAGAAAGACATGCAGACAGATTGTGTGGGACGATGGAAGGGGGTCAATCAGACACACCAGCGTCCAGGTCCTGGCTTGCAAGTGGCTAGGGGAGTGTGCCAACCACTAACCTTCAGTGCCCGCCCAGGAAAGTCCTGTTAGATGTTGATCTCATGGTCCTGGGGGAGGCGGTGTATTGATTGACCCACCTGGGGAGAATAATTAGAGCCAAGAGACAGAAAAGGTGGGGTCACAGGCTGGAACCTCCCCGGACCCTTATGTGAGCCCCCACGGGAGCAGGTAGAGCGGAGCCAGTGTGCCCCACTGTTGAGGTGCCCCCCTCCAGTTGGGGATTCCAGTTTGGGTGGGGAATCAGCCCACCGCCCCCGCTCCCCATTCCAGACCTTGGAGACCCAGAGGTGAAGAGCAACCCAGGTTTGTAGTTAGAGCTGTGGTGACCGAGGGCTGGCACTGGAGTTAAGGTGAAATTTGGAATTGGGTTTCTGTGGTAGGGGAGGACGGGTTTGGGGTCAGGGAAGAGCCTGAACAGAGCTGAAACTGAAGGTCTGGGTGCAACTGGGGTTGGGTTTGGGGGTGAGATTGGTGTTGGGCTCAAGTTAGGACTGGGGTTGGGGCTGGCAGACCCCACCCTCACCTCCCCTGGGTAGGTTTCTCTCCAAGTTAGGGCGCTGCTGGGAACTAGCGCTGGGAGGCGCCAATGAGTGCAAGCTGGAGTCTTCCCTCTCTTCTAGCCTGTGCCCCCCACTCCCACTCCCTGCCCCCTGCCATTTTCTTGTGGATTCACATCTGGTTGCTAGTGGGCAGAGGGCACAGGGAGAGGTGCCCTTTGGGGTGGGAGAGGGAGTGCAGGGTCCCCTGCCATCCTGGGAGCCTCTGTGCTGGGGCCACGGCTGGTTGAGGTGACCCCACGTGCCACCTCCCCTCCTCACAAGGCACCCACCTTTGGGCCTGCCCCACCTACCCTGGGCTGGCTGGGGGCGGGGAAGAGGGCGCAGCTGGGGTCAGAAAGGCTGCATCCCACTCCCAACCCCTGATGGTCTGGGGTCCCCATCCCATCACTCAGCTAGAGGGGCTTTTGGAGAGAGCTGGGCTGGGCTGGGCTGGGCTGGGCCATGGCCCGGGGGGAGGGCAGCCGAGCAGGCTAAGCTGGAGAGGAATGCCGCTGCCCGCTAGGAGGTGCCTGGTATGACCACCCCCTCCCATCCTGGGCAGGGAGGGCCCCGCCTCTGACTGGGTGAAGAGGGCACCCACGGGGGAGGAGGGTGCAGCTGGAGAGAGAGGCCCTTTGGGCTAAAGGACAGAGCTGCTCCTGGAGAGTCCCTTATGTCTGGGTGTCCGGGAATCTGTTTCTTCCCCTGAGTCCCTCTTCGAGGCATCCTTCCTGCCCTCCTCACCAGGGGCACCCCAGCCCTGAACTCCCCTGACCCCAGCCCTGGCTGGAATCAGGTGGGTGGATGTACGGTCTGCAAGGGCTGCATTTCACTGGCTGGGCTCAGACTGGGGAGAGGGTCTCAATGCCCCCGTCCAGGGTCTTGAAGACTGGAGCTTCCTTTACCTTCTGTGTCTCCCTGGACAAGGAGATACGATCGCCCCGTGAGGTGGGGGTCCGTACGTAGTGAGGGGCACACGCATCCTGCCCGCCTCGGCCCCACCATGCTGGAATTCACAAAAATGACTCCAGAGTTGAGGGGTTCCACCGCAGGTCCTCTGACCCACCACCCCACAGGCAGCATTAGAGTTGTACCTGTTTCTCAAGGTGCCGCCCCCCACCCCCCCCAATCCCCAGGTCCCTTGCACAGTGCTTCACAGCCATTAGCTTGGCCACTCCCACACCTAGAAGTAGGTATTATCCTCGTTCTATAGGTGAAGAAACTAAAGCTCAGAGAAGTGACTTGCCCACGGTCACATAGCTGGGAAGTAGCAGACACTGGGCTCTTCCTCCTGTTTGCACACCTCCAGTCCCAGGGAGTTCACCCCCTAACGAGGCAGCCGGCTCCACTTGCAGACGGCTTTGAAGAAAGAGATTTTGGTGGCTCAGAGGGTAAGGCGTCTGCCTACAATGTGGGAGAGCCGGGTGCAATCCCTGGGTCGGGAAGATCTCCTGGAGAAGGAAATGGCAACCCACTCCAGTATTCTGGCCTGGAAAACCCTGTGGATGGAGGAGCCTGGTAGGCTACAGTCCATGAGGTCGCAAAGAGTCGGACACAACTGAGCGACTTCACTTTTCAAACTGAAGGAAGCTCTGTGCCTCTTATAAGCTCTATTCTAACCCCATCCTCAGGGACTGCCTGGAGCGGCAGGGTGGTTCTTTTCTCACACGCCAGTCCCTGAGAGGTTTGGGGGCAGAGATGGCTGCCCTCTGAGGCTCTGGTGCCTTGGGCTCACATCCTCCAGTCCCTAGACCAGACAGCGCGACTCCCAACGGGACCCTGCCCGCCAGTCTCCCCCAGCCCCCCCGGGGCCTCATTTCTTCCAGGGCAGGCACTAATGGTGGCCCCTCTGCTGTCTCCCTACCCCAACCACCCCACCCCAGGCTGCTGAACGAGAGCGACAAGCGCCCCTTCATTGAGGAGGCCGAGCGGCTGCGGATGCAGCACAAGAAGGACCACCCAGACTACAAGTACCAGCCGCGGAGACGGAAGAACGGGAAGGCGGCCCAGGGAGAGTCGGAGTGCCCAGGCGGGGAGGCTGAGCAGGGCGGGGCGGCCGCCATTCAGGCCCACTACAAGAGCGCCCACCTGGACCACCGGCACCCGGGCGAGGGCTCCCCGATGTCAGACGGAAACCCCGAGCACCCCTCGGGTGAGCCTGGGGCTGGGGAGGAGGCTGTGGGCGGCGGGGAAAGGCAAAGGCTGGAGCAGGACTTGAGACCTGAGGCTCTGGGAAGGGCTGGCCGGGCTGTCGTGGCCCAGCTGGGCTTCAGGGGCCCACTGACAGTTCAGACTGGGCTCGGTGTCGGGGGAGGCGGCTGGGCAAGAGGGCTCTGGCCAGGACTGCTAGGAGGGGGCACTGGTTCGGGGTGAAGAGACCCGTGAAGGAGGCCACTGAAGGCAAGTGGGCCAGTTACACCAGAGAAAGGTGGGACAGGACGATTCTGAGAGATGGGAGGGCAGACGGAGGAGAGCGCGTTGCCTCTCCCCCACCTCCCAGTCTGACGGGGGAGACACGGCGTGTGACGTTGAGCACATGGCACGGAGGAGCCAGATGCAGGGCCTCCTGTTTCATTCTCATCGGTGATGAGCGCAGCTAACGTCAATTGAGCACTTACTGTGTGCCGGGCACTGTGCTACTTGCTTTATGTATGTTCACTCATTCAGTCCGTCTAAACTGTGATGAGGCAGCCACACTGCCACTCAGACCTCAACTGTGTGGCAAATCACTCTCATGCTACAGAGTAGACTCTACAGAAAGCTAAGGGTAACTTGCCCTGTAGCTGAGGGCTCCAGGGTCTCTGCTGACACTGTGTTTGTAGCATACAGAGCACCATGCTTGGGGCCAGGCACATGGCAAGTGTCAGTGAGCAGAGCTCTGCCTTCAGAAGACACACTCCGAGTCCTCCTCTGTGCCAGACCTGGAAGCAGACACCAGGCGTCCAAACGAGACGCCGTGGTCCCTGGAGCCTCCTGTCGCCTCCCGTGGTCCGTGGTCGCTCAGGAGCCCACATCCCTCCTATAGAGGGATGAGCAGTGATGAAAACACGTGAATTAAGTACAGGAAGAATCAAGGGCACGTGAAGCCCATGCAAGACCCAGAGGGGGCATGACCTGTAGGGAGGAGTCACCCCCCGTCCACCCAGTCAGTCTCCAAAAATATCCAGCTGCCCACCAGACTCTGGTCAAGGAAAGCTTCCAGAAGGAGGCCATGTCCTCAGCTGCTTGGTATCATCTCTGTTTTACTGATAAGGAAACTGATAAGAGAAGATGGGGGTCTGCCCAGGGTCACACAGTGAGTGACAGAGCAGGAATTCAAACTCAGAGTCCAGATCTTTTCAGCACAGGATTCAGCACTGCCTCTGGTCTGATGGAGGAGGCACAGGCCTGCCCTCAAGGAGCGCCTAGCTTGCTAGACCATGAACACGTTCTCTGTCAGAAGGGATGTCCCGTCCAGCCATCCCTCCCTCACACTCCTTTGGAGATTTGGGGGTATACACACACCAGAAGACCCTGGTCCGTGTACAGAACCAGCTCACTCCATTACTGTGGGCCTGGCTTTCTCTTCCCCATAAACGGCCCAGCTACTCCTCCCCGAGCCCTTCCCCACGTCCCCAGGGCAGGGCGAGCGGCTTCCTCTGCTGGTCTCCTGAGCCCCTCACCCATCCTCACCACAGCACCTGTGATGCTGCCCTCCAGCCCTGGGTGGGTCCCTGGATCCCCCCCCCCCCAAGACCAGGAGCTTGTGCAGACAGGAACCATTTGACTTGTTTTGTATTCCCCTATGCCTGGCAACCGTGCCTGGCACTTAGCGGTGCCCCCTAAGTGTTTGCTGAATGAACCTGGGAAGGGGCAAATGGGCAGATGAAGGAACGGGGTAGCACAGGTCACTCACCTCGGTACTTTCCTGGATGGGCAGGGAGAAGGCAACTGGAGGGATAGTGGGGCCGTGCGGTGCGTGATGGGAGCTGAGAGCGTGGTTGGGGGCGCTGGGTGGGAGGGAAGGTTTCCTTGAATAAAGGGCACTTGAGGTGGCCTTAGGCAGAGGGATGGGGTTGGAGGTGATGCATCACCCTTCAGGGCCCGGGGTGGCAGAGTTGTACAGACGACCCAGCCAATGTGATAAAGGCCAGAGAGGTGAGCAGGGCGGGCAACCAGCAGAGGCCGAGTGTGCTTAAGAGAGAGCAGGCAAGCCAGGCCTACGGGCCAGACCCCATCAGGCTGCACAGCTGAGGAGCGCCGGGAGGGCAGCCGACTTCAGCTGGTGTGAGGAAGCACCTTCCAATGGGGAAAACGGAAACTTGCTCAAATTGAAGCAGGCCTCTCCGGGAGGGGGTGGGGGCGAGAGAGGGTAGTCCTATGCTGGTAGGAGAAAAGATGCATTCCTAGGACTGGGGAATTTCATAAATGATTGGACATCAACCCAAGATCATTACATAGCCAAATGCCACCGCAGACCCCCTGAACATGTTAAAACGAACAAGGCCATGCCGTGATGGATCCTCAGCCTCCTGGAGGCATCGCGTCTGAAAGTGAACCATCAGCCACTGACCTCTGTTCCTGCTTCCTCTCTCTCTTTCTCTCCCTCTGTCTCCCTTCACCCTCTAGGCCAGAGCCATGGCCCACCCACACCTCCGACCACCCCAAAGACAGAGCTGCAGTCAGGCAAGGCAGACCCCAAGCGGGATGGGCGCTCCCTGGGGGAGGGCGGGAAGCCTCACATCGACTTCGGCAACGTGGACATCGGTGAGATCAGCCATGAGGTAATGTCCAACATGGAGACCTTCGACGTGGCCGAGTTGGACCAGTACCTGCCGCCCAACGGGCACCCGGGCCACGTGGGCAGCTACTCGGCAGCTGGCTACGGGCTGGGCAGTGCCCTGGCTGTGGCCAGTGGACACTCTGCCTGGATCTCCAAGCCTCCAGGCGTGGCTCTGCCCACGGTCTCGCCGCCTGGCGTGGACGCCAAAGCTCAGGTGAAGACGGAGACCGCGGGGCCCCAGGGACCCCCGCACTATACCGACCAGCCGTCCACCTCGCAGATCGCCTACACCTCCCTCAGTCTGCCCCACTATGGCTCCGCCTTCCCCTCCATCTCCCGCCCCCAGTTTGACTACTCTGACCATCAGCCCTCAGGACCCTATTACGGCCACTCGGGCCAGACCTCTGGCCTCTACTCGGCCTTCTCCTACATGGGGCCCTCGCAGCGGCCCCTCTACACGGCCATCTCTGACCCCAGCCCCTCGGGGCCCCAGTCCCACAGTCCCACACACTGGGAGCAGCCGGTATATACGACGCTGTCCCGGCCATAGAAGGGGGCCCCACACCCCTGTCACCTCCCGTCTCGCCCTGCCCTTTCCCCCAGCCCTCGCACCCTCTTCCTCGCCCATCTCAGGCCCGGTGGCGGCAGAGGAGGCTGCAGAGGCTGACAGCTGAGGGGAAGGCCTTCTGTCTGGCTCACTGCCTTTGATGACCCCACCCCGTCCTACCCAGGCTCCGGCCCAGGCACAGCCCTGGGCTACTCGGCTGGGCAGAGGAGAAGGAGGTAGCTTGTTGCCCCTAAACTGAAAAATGAGGGGCTGTACCTTCCCCCCCAGGAATGACCCTCGATCCCAGGATCTGAGCAGGCCCCGCCTACCCTCCTCTGGGAGGGTGAAGTACCCAGGGTTGGTCGGATGGGAATCGGAGGCCTGACCACCCCTGTCCTGTGTTTCCTCTTCTGCGAGGAATAGGGGGTCTGACCTAACCCGTGAAGCCAGGCCATGTGTCTGAAGAGCAGGGCCAACCAGAAACCTGCGTCAGGGACTGCGGCGGGCTCCATCTGCCCCTCGGTGGGCTGAGAACAGCTTTGAAACGCCTTGAGGGAGTGGGGGTGGGATGGGGTCTCAGAGGGAGGTCTCCTCAACCCTTCAGTGCCCCCCTCCCCTCCTGAACACAGGAAGGAATTGGCACAGAGGCCCTCAGATCCATTTCGGTGCCAATAACCTCGTTCTTTGTCTGATGGAGCAAAGGGCCAGGTCCCACTCCAGGACAACCTCCCGACTTTGAGGCACACCTAGGACGTGAGCAGGCCGGGACCCCAGGAAAGGATTCGGAGACAATTCACAGAGCCTTCCTCCCGGCTCCCACCAGCCCCCTGCCCCCCAACCTCACCAGGCTCTGTGGTCCTTGAGCTCTCAGCCCCAACTCCTTGGGCTTCCCAGAGAGTTAGAGCTGCTCAGGCCCAAACCCTCGGCTCCAAGGGGAGACCCAGGGCCCAGCACCCTGGTTGCTGGCAGCAGGCTGAAGACACTAAACTCCTGACATGTACATGCTGCCCTGGCCTTTTGCCCTTTGCCTCCCAGTGGTATTTGAATAAAGTATGTAGCTCTCTTCTGCCCCCATTTTCCTGTTCTGCAGCCCTCCACCCCCAAGTCCACATGTAACTCATTACTGCCCCCCCCCTTATTTATCTCAGTAGCTCCCTCTATCCCCCTCCCCTCTGCTAGGTACTCCAGCCCCTATTAACTCTGCATTAAACATTCCACATAATAAAATTAAAGGTTCCGGTTACCTGCTTGGTGGGCCTGACCTGGTCTCTTATCCCTGGACCCTGCTTCTTCAAATGCTTTCTGGAAGTAGCTAGAGGGTAGAATGCAAAGGACAGATAATCCAAAGGTCCCCTCTGTCTTGCCCAGTGCAGTAGCTCAGGACAGCTGGCATCACAGTGGGGTCAGCGGGTGCTCAGAACTGAGGCCTCAGACTGGAGCTCTGCCCCCAGCCCAGCTGTGTCCACACTGCAGGTGGGCCACTTGCTGGCTCAGCTGGAACTCAGCATGAGTGCCTTCCAAGCAGCCCATTCTCACCCAGCAGAGAAGGGGCCTTGCAAAGACTTCAAGGAACAAGTATGTGAAAGGTAGATCAGGTCTGAGGTCTTGCTGTCTGCAGTCAGTAGGCCTGGTCCTTTAGGATGGGTGAGTGGGCCTTCTCTCACTGTAACTTCCACTTGCCACCTCCCCCAGCAACACAGACACACACAGATCCACACCAGGATCTAGCAGCTGCCCATGTCTAAGTATAAACTAGGATGGCAGACATACCATCTAATCCTTTGGGGCTTCCCCCGCAAAAGCTCTTTGCTCAGCAGAATTCCAACCTGCACTCTGGGACCCGGGGCTCCTCCACCTCAGGGACAGGGGAAATCTTTTCTCTATGCTCCATCAATGGACAGCTCTGATGGCTGAAGTCTCCCCTTCCACCCAGTTCATAGAGACACTAATAGCTCCCATGTACTGGGTGCTCCCTGGCCAAGTGCTTTACATCCTTCTGGCCTATGAGGGAGTGAGCCAAATCATTATCCCCATTTCCTGGACACCGGACTTGACACTTTGAGAGGTGGGTGCTAAGAAGTGCTGGTACAGAATCTGAAGCCAGCTGACTCCAAACCTTGCACCCTTAACGATCGTCTCTTCCACCTGCCCTATTTCCACTTGTAATCTAAGGCCGTGCTTCCTTCACGGCTCCAGACCAGCATCCCTAGATCCAGTGTCCATTTCTTCTATCTGTGGGCTCCAGCCCCTCACCTCCTAGTCAGGACCTCGGGTGGGGGAGGGGGCACCAAGAACTAGCCCAGTCCTCCAGGGCGGCCAGACCGCCACCTGGAAGCTGTGTCCTGCAAACTCTTCAGGCCACTTCGCCAGAACCGCTGGCTCCCATGAAGCGTAGTGGTGACTACAAATTCTTCTTCTTGTAGATAAAACCTGCAGCCACGTTGGACTGCCCTGAACTGTATACAAGCGGTTTTCTGCTGCTTGGCTGTCGTTGTATTGTAGATAAATGCAGGATTTTTTTACTGGTCTTAAACAGATTTCATCTTTTTGCATTTGACCATTTCCCTACCTGTGTTAGACCCTTTGAATTCTGAATCCAATTTATAGCTCTCCCAAGCTTCATGTTTGAAACTCGAATATCCTCATTCAGGTTACTAATGAAAAAAGATTGGAATGAGAGGGACAGACCCTGTGTCCACCACCGAAAACCTCTCCATTCTATCATCTGTACTTGGAAAGCTGTCCAGACAATTCTGAATCTAATTATGTCACCATGAAGTACCTGCTTCTCTATCACAGCCACACAGACTGCCTAATGCCTTGCTCAAATCAAGGTTCCCTGTATCTGTGGCATTCCTCCAACCTACGAGGCTGGTAACCATTGGAAAAAAGAAAATTGGGTTCACTTGGTGATATCCTTAGAAACCCTATGCTAGCTCCAGAATCTTTTTATTATCCAAGTGTTTTCAAATATGCAATAGCCTATTCTAGAATTTCATTAGGGGGTCAATCAGGCGCTCCTACTTCTTACAACCTCCCTTTTCCTCTATTGAATAGCAGGACATTAGTCCATTTCTAGCCTGTCCAGTGTTTCCTGTGTTCTCTGGGATTGTGGACGTGGAGCGGGCAGGGCAGGTGGGAGGGGCTACATCAAAAAGATGAAATCACCACCTGCATGACCTCAACGAGACTGGACAGTCACTGGGGACATGGGAGGAGAGGGAATGGCCCGCAGAAGTCAGAAGACATGGCTTGTGCTCATTCCTTAGACCTGAGATTCCGGATGAGCTCGGGCCTCAGTCAAGTAGTGGCTCCACAGTAAACAGAGAAGGGACAGGTGTATCTGGAGAGGGTCGAGGAGATGGTGCCCTGGCCAGGCCAGCTGAGTAGCGAGGGCCTGACTCTGTGAAAGCGGAGAATGGAGGGGGCAGGTGGGAGGGTAAACACCCCTTTCTCCATCTCTCCTCTACACCCTATCCCCTAAGGGTTAACCCCCTCCCTCCCCCAGTCCCTCTCTCCTCCGCCACCCCAGCCCCATCTCCCTTTAATCACATCTGATACTGAGCGGCCCAGCAGGAACAAAGAGACCATTTAGAGAAACGGGGCCGAGAAAGTGACCCCCGCACTCTGGGGCGGCCGCCTGGATGCCAGCACAAAGGCGGCATTTCAGAGCTGAAATTTCAGCACCCAACTTGATTAAAGGATTCCACAGGCTTGGAGGAGGGTGGAAGGGGGTGCGAAGTCCATTGCTCCCTGAATTAACCCTTCTCCAGAGCAGCCAACACCCCTCCCATGCCTGGGGATGCTCGTCACTTCCACCCTGTCCAGGGTGCACCCGCCCCAGGGGCCTCGCCACTTGCAGAGGTCAGGCAGGCCTGGCTCTTCCTCTTCCTGGAAGTGGGGGCTGGCAGCAGACTGAAGGTCAAGGCTGGAATATTCAGGGAGATGGGTTTCCTTCCCATCCCTATTGGTGTCAGTATATATCCTCTCCTTGTTGTCTGCCCCCGCACCCCAAGGGAGGGAGGAGCCAGTGTGATCAACTGGATTTAATGTCACGCCTTGAACCCAGAAGCCCTGCTGCCCTGCCCACCATCACCCCAGCACCCATCCAAGTGAAGGCCCTGGAGGGATCAGGGTCTCCACACAGAAGGGAAAGGAGAGGGTATGGGTGTGGCAGACCAGATGGGTGGGTCATCCGGCGTACTGGCGTATGGGGAGTGGTCTGACAGGTGGGGAATGGGAGGGGTGGTGCGGCTGGGATGGGCAGGTGTTCGGCCCTTGCTCCAGCTGCTGACTTGCCCAGTAGGGCTCTCTCGGGGAGGGCAGGAGATCACTGCGTCCCCAGGCTTCCTGCTGGGGGCACTGGCTCCTGAAAGGGGATCCGAGCCCATGATAAGAGGCTCGAGGCAGGTCCTTAGGAAAACAATGGGTGGCTTGATGAGACCTGCTCTGTGATACTCCTGAGAAGGGAGAAGCCCCTGCAGCCAGTCCCCACTGGAAAGGAAATTGGGGGTTTCCGTGGCAACCAGTTCCCTGGGCACAAAGGCTCGTCTGTCTGCTGGGAAGGCAGCCGAGGTATCTCCTGCAGCAGCCTCTGCTCTGGTGGACTGCTAGATGGAGGGGGGCAAGCGGGGGAGCCCAGGGGGTCAGGGCCCTGGTGCTTCTTAAAGAGCTGATGGTCCCAGGGCCACTGGGATGGGCACAGCCTCCAGGCAGCAGGGCAGTAACAGTGAAGATGGAGGTGGGCGTCACAGGCAGCAGGAGGCAGAGGGGGTTGAAAGTTAAAGAATTTACTATTTACACGTATAAAGACTATAAAAAGACTATGAGACGAGCCACGGGCGGAGGCCCAATCCAGAGGCTGACTCCAGTTCAGTCGGTGATGATGAGCTCGTCAACACCCCAGTCTTCGTAGCTCCCGTCAGGCAGGTAGCGGCGAATGATGATGGGGATCTTCCGGGCCCTGTGACCGGGGAGAGATAGAAGTACGTGAGGATGTGACGCCGGCTCTGCAGCAGAGGGACAGCAGGTGCAGAAGGCAAGGGAGGAGAAGCCTTAGGAGCATCCTCTTGAGACCATGGATGTACTTTGTAGGACAGGACTTTGAAGGGCGAGGCAGAAAGCAGAGGGATGTTGGTAAGGCCAACTGCAGCAGGAAAAGGGGTGCTGGGACAGAAAGGGACGGTCCATGTCTCGTCAGGGTCCTCCCCTCCCCTGTCCCCTCCTCCCCCTTGAAGGGCTGACTCCCAAACTAAGGGTCTACAGGAACAAGGCCACATGTCCCCAGCAGGGAAGCGGGGCAGGGTGTGCAGCAGAGCACCCAGCGGATGCCCCCCGGGCTCTGCAACCATGAACCAGCATCTGGGTGACTTACTTGAGTTCCTTCATGGCAATCAGTAAGGGATCTGTCTCCCCCTCCAGCTCCACCATCACGGGGGCACACATCCTGCAGGTGTAAGGACAGGTGTGGGGAGATTACACACACAGGAAGAGGGCCCAGCATGAAGCTGGGGAGAGTTTCACAAACAGGAGCAGATCAGCACCCCAGAGCCCACCTGGAGAGGGCACCGAGAGGGGACACCTCCCCCAAGTGGCAGGTGCGGAGCAGTGGTTCAGGGGTGCTGACAGCGAGGGCACTCGAGTGACAGCCGGTAGACTGGGCTTCAACTGGGCCTCAAAGACCCTGAATCTTTCTCCCAATCTCAGCATCCTCATTTGAAAATGAAGACAAAAAGCCCTGCCACTCCTACACAACAAGAATGCTAAAACAGTACTGGCTAATAAGCAGACTCGCTAAGTGCCATAGCTGCTCTCCACCCTCCATGTAGATTATTTCATTTGTAGTTAAGTACTACTGGAGAAGGCAATGGCACCCCACTCCAGTCCTGGAAAACCCCATGGACGGAGGAGCCTGGCAGGCTCCAGTCCACGGGGTCGCAGAGAGTCGGACACGACTGAAGCGGCTTAGCAGCAGCAGCAGTTAGTACTACTGCTACTTCCGTTTTACTGAGGCACAGGGAGGTCAGTAATTTCCCCAAGGTCACACAGCCAGTGAGTGGCAGAACAAGATTTGAACCCTGAAGACTCCTCTCTACTGTGCTGTAACACCTCCCATTAAAAACCTGGTGATCCACAAACTGAAACCAGGTACTGTGAATGGGACAAGCATGCGCTTTCATTAGTTCATCGGGTGACATTCATCACGTCCACTCCCCCGGCCAAGGACCTTCCCCAGGGCCCATCAGACTCCTGAGCCCACGGCCACAGCAGAATATCCCACACAAAGGACCCATATGTGCAAGAGCTCACCCTCTGACCACTCTACTCAACCCCCAGCCCTGCCTCAGGGCCTAGCTCGCCTCATTTTCCTTCTCTGTCTTGGCAACACCCCCTGCGAGGGTCCTGCTCCTCCAGCCTTGACACAAGGTCTATGGTCAGGCTCTCACCTGTTTACCTCTCTTCCTTGATACCCCATGGTCATCAGGCAGGCAGAACCTCATCTGGCCCCCGCTTACCTTTGCAGTACTTTCTCATGCTACCTGCCTCTATTCACCCCACATTCCAGCCATACCAAACCCCTACAGTTTCCTAGACAGGGCCTGTTGTTTTCCTTCTGTATCCTCACGTGAGTGCTTCCTCTTCTTATAGGCCTGTGAGAGGCTTAGATGTCTCCACCCTGAAAAGCACATGCTGAAGCCTTAGGGCCCTGACTCATTTTACACACACTTCTTTCAACACCACTGTCACTAAACTGTGACTACCCATCTGAAGTTTTCCAAACGAGATCTGCTGGTCCAGGACCCCAAGTTCTATTCTAGTGCAACACTTGGCCCACAGCAGAGGGTCTAAAAACAGACAGACCAGTTCCAGGCCCATCTCCTCTAGGAAGTCACCCTTACTGATTCCAACTCAAGTTTACACTAATGGACCCCAAACCTGATGATCATCCAGGAGAGTGTGCTAAAAATACAGGTTTCCAGGTCCTCCCCCGGACCCGCTGAATAAATTCTCTACTGAAGGAGCCTGAGAACCTACATTAGCAAAGCTCCCCTGGTGATTCGGATAACCAGCCAGTCCGAGAGCCACCAGTTTACAATAAATGATCTACTAATTCTATTGCTAAATACTCTGATGTCTGTTACTCCCCAAAGCCTGAAAATTCCCCAAGGGCAGAAACTGAGGTTTTAACTTTTTCTATATCTTCTCTCAATAATTATTTAATCTTCCCTAATACTTAATGTTTTAAAGAATGTGGCAAAATGCTTTCCCTGATATGCATATGCCTTCTTTCTTTCAAGACATGAATAATTCAAGAATAGTCATTCATCCAGCCCTACTACATGCACAGGAAATCTGAGAGTGTGCCCTCAACGTCTCCACCAGGGGTTCCAAGTGGCAACCTTCCCTGGGAAGCAGCCAAGGGGTCGCAAAGAGTCAGCCAGACTCAGCGGCTGAGCATAGCACAGCGCAGTTGCAACCATTCAGCCACCAGATGGGGCTAATGAGCTGGAATGAGACCATCCACAAATACCCAAGAAAACATGGTTCAGCATCTACTCCTAAGTGCAGGATCGCAGGCCCATAACAAGACAAGCTCCAGCCCTGACTGCCCAAGGGCTTACAGCAGCTGGAGAACCACCAGACAGCAACTGAGCTCTTAATCTGAAGGGGTGCTACAGCCCAACAAGGTTGGACAAGAGTCTTACCTCCAAAGGAAAGCAGGATGCTGGGCCTTGCATGGAATGCCTGCTCCAGACTGTCCACCAAACGCACGCCCATCTTCTAAATGTCACTCAAGGGACCAGTGACATGTTTTCCAGTCTTGTGCCCCAAGCTACTTGCCATTCCTCCACCACAAACCACACATGCCCGCCTCCACTTTCCTAGTGCTGTTTCTGGCACCTAGGATACCTTCAAGACGACATCACTTTATTCCCTTCTCTCCTTTTTCGTTTCTCTTTTAAAGCATCAATCTCGTCTGCCTTGGGTTCTGGGTATTTAGAAGAGGTCCCTCTTCCCTACTAGTCAGTAAACATCCAGAGGATTAGGGGATTGTGTCTTTAATCCTCTTTACATCTCCAAAAGGCACAAGCACAGTATCTTATTTGATGCTGAAAGACTTTAACTTGCATACAGTCTATTTGCTTAAAAAACAGTTTATGAATTATTCTTTTTGCTGGGTCGTGTTCAGCAGACATATTCATATTTATATTCATACCACCCAACCAGCACTCTGCAAGGATGGACATGTCCTCTAACTGTGCTACCTATCACGAGAGCCACAAGGGCTACTGAGCACATGAAATGTGACTAAGGAGATAGAAACACTGGACTCCTATCTAGTTTTACCTAATTTAAATTTAAATGGCCAAATGTAGACAGCAGTGACCATACCTGTGGTGCAGGCCTAGAGGGTTCTGACCCCAGCAACTGAAATCACCATACGGAGTGCGGCTCTCAACTCACCCAGACCAGCAAGGGGTGCAAGCAGGCCGGCAGGAGGTCTACCGCTGCCGATCAAGTGAAGAACAACGGTTTCTTGCCCCAATAAAACCCTCCACTGAGTGGTCACCTTCACTCCACAGATAAAAGTCCAGTGCTGTTTGAAAACTTGGGCAGGGGGTGGGGGCGCACAGACTGAGCATCATTGCTCCCCTAGCATACGTATTGCCCCACAACTCCGTGGCCCCAGCTTTTCTTTCGAGCCTGTTTCCCACTCCTCTCTTCTCGAAGCACCCCTCCTCCAGGTGTCCACCATTTCTCCCAGCAGCTGGTAAGAAGTCTGAGACAGGGCTCCTTTCCTCAGCCTCCTATTTCCCTGGGGAGGACCTGCCACGAAAGCAACAGTAACACATCTGCTCTCTGCGTCCTCCCACTTAACTCTCGCCAGAACAGAGGAGGAGCTTATCTGACAGGGGAGGCTGGCGGGGAAAGCCAGCACCTGTGGCCCAGCCTCTTCAAGAGCTCCTGCTTCCTCAAAGCCACCTGCCCTCAGGGGGGCTGCTTTGGGGTCTGTTCTGCACAAGGCCCCCGCCCCCGCAGACACGGCCTCTGATGCCTGCAATGCCTGTGGCTGATGGGCAGACATGCAGGCATTGCACATTTTGACCTGACCTGACTTGTCTCCTGGCTGGCTCCTGAATCATGTTGTTCTTCAACAAGTTCCCAACTTGGGAGAGAAAGGAAGGGCTGCTAATTTCAAACCCCCACACCCCCAACCACTGTTCTGTGCTTCCACGTTCCCAGCGCGGTCTCGACCTGGAGGGCTCTCTCACTCCTCTGGGCTGGCCCCAGTCTACTTGAGTCAAGAACCACCTTAAGCCCAGTGAGAGTTGCTGCAGCACCTGCAACTAACGAGCCCACAAGGGTGTAGGTCTGATCTTATTTCATTTATTTTCGCTTCCCCACCTGACAGGCAGTCATCACGCTCTGTATTCTTACTGTTCCTCGTCTACTGCTTATGTCCTGTTCCCCCAATGGACCACAAAACTTCCTGAGGACAGGGGTCTAGCACAGTGCCTGGCACACAGGAGCAGCATCGCCTTTGTTTAGCCTGTGAGAAAGGGAAGGGTCTGTTGTCAGGCTGGGCCATGACCAACAGCTTGGAGGCTCCCTGTGGCCTGATCAAAGGATAAGATGGTGTGGGAGCTCATACTCACGCAATCTGAAGGGCTCGGGTGCCCAGCACGCGGGCTCGTTCATACTTGGTCATATATGGTGTGGTGATTCGTTTCTGGTTGGCCTGCGGTCGCTCTCCAGAAGGGAGAATCTCAACGTTCTCCTGGCCCTCCTGGACACCAAGGCAGAAAAGAGGGAAAAATCTCAGGATGCATTACTGGGGGTGAGGGGCAGGATGACGACAACAGTGATTGTAAGCACCTCCACACTACTGCTTGCTACATGCCAGTGACCATGCAACTGCCTTATTAACACCCCACTCAATCCTCACAAAAACTTTATGAAGTGGGGATTACAATGCTCATTTTAGAGGGTTGGACAGTCAGCTAACTTGGCCAAAGTCTCAGAGCTAGTGAAAGAGGAATCGTGATCAGGAGTCCAAAGCCAGCCGCCTCATCCAGAAGGAAGAGTTGGCCCCATACAAAGAAGTCCTTGAGCATAGACAACCTTACCCGAAGCAGGAAGAGGAACAAGCACCCCATCTTAAAATATGTATAAATTTAATAATCACTTATTAGGCATCTGTCATGTGCCAGACATGATAAAGGTGCTGAGACGGAAAGAGTTTCTGCTCTCAAAGACTTCACAGTCCAGCAAAAAGACAAGAGTAAACAAAACACTAAGTGCTATGAAAGTGTGCCAGCGTGCCACAAACTACACAAGAAAGTGAGGGACATCTACCTCATCCTGGGGGTTAGGAATACAGTCCAGAGATGAGACCTGGGCTAGTCTAGAAGGATGAGTATGAGCTGCCAAGCTAACAAGGAAGGAAAGGCAGGGCGTTCCGGGCAGGCTGAATTGCATATGTGCAAAGACACAGGAGGGAGAGAACGTACTCAGCCTGTACGCCTAATTGTGGGGTATGATTAGCACAAAAGGTACAGACAGGGTTATAGACAGGAGAATAAATTCTGTAATATAAAATTAAGTCAACAGATATTTACTGAGTGCTTACTATATGTCAGATAGCATTCTAAGTGCTTGACACAGAGCAGTAAGACAGATAAGTTCTTTCTCCCATAGAGTTTTACTATATAATACAGTGAAAGTGAAAGTCACTCAATCGTGTCCAACTCCTTGTGAGCCCCCATGGACTATACAGTCCGTGGAATTCTCCAGGCCAGAATACTGGAATGGGCAGCCATTTCGTTCTCCAGGGGATCTTCCCAACCCAGGGATCGAACCCAGGCAGGTCTCCTGCATTGCAGGCGGATTCTTTACCAACTGAGCCACCATGGAAGACCAAGAATACTGGAGTGGGTAGCCTATCCATTCTCCAGCAGATCTTCCTGACCCAGGAATACAGTGAGATGAACAATAAATAAAATTAGTAGTAAAATGTGCAGTATAAAAACAGAGAGAAAAGACAGAGAGTGTCCGAGTGTTGATGTTGGAGGAAGGGACAAATGCAGTGATTTGAGATAGAATGGTCAGGGAAGGCCTCACTGAGGTGATATTTAACACAGACCTGAAGGAGGCTGAGGAGCAGACTGTGTGCATATCTAAGGGAAAAGGAAGAGGGGACAGCACAGTCAAAGGTCCTGAGCTGGAACTTCCCTGGCAGGGACAGGGACACCGAGAAGAGAGAAGGTCACAGAGGGAGCAGGTGGTCGGATCATGGAGGACGTTATGCATGTTTTTGGCTTTTATTCAGAATGAGATGAGAAGCGACCAGATACAGGTTCTGAGCAGAGGAGAGACAGAGTGACTTTAGATTTAAAAGGATCACTCTGGATACCCTGTTGAGAATATTTTGTAGAGGGTAAGGGCCGAAGCAGAGAGAACACTGAGGAAGACCAATAGTAACCAATCATGTGGGTAGGAGAAGTCAACTCTGGCAGCAGAAAAGCAAACAGCAGACTCAAGGCAGGAAAACCAGTAACAAGTTTCTACAGTAATGCGGGTGAAAACCAATGAGGATCTAAACCAGGCTGAGGCACTAGGAATAGAGAAACGGGAACAGGACTGAACTACATGGAGGAGGCAGAGTCAACAGGAGAGAGATGGAAAGGGATCAGAAGGATAGAGAAGAAAGTTTCTGACTCAGTGAACAGGTAACCTCAGAGTGCCAGGCAGACAGGAAAACCCAAACAAAAGAGGGCCTTCACCTTACCAACCTAAAAAACAATCAAGGGATCCCTTTCTCCAGAAGACACAAAGCACTTCTTCCTCCACCAGTCATACAGCACAGAAAACCCTATTTTATCTACGACGCCAGTAACTCATCCACCAAGCTGCTTAAGCCAGAAACACGGGAGTCATTCCTATCATGTCCCACTTTCTCAGCCCCACATCCAATCCACCAAAATCTCTCGAATCTGTTTTCTCATCACAGACACTACCAGCACCCAAGTGCAAGTTACAGATGTCACTTGGATTGCACCCTAATTGGGCTTTCTTTGACTCTTGCTCCTCCCAACTCATTCCTCACTGGATCATGCCACTCCCCAGCTCCCCAAAACTTGTCAGCAGCTTCCCACTACCCCTAGGCTACAAAATCTTGCCTGATCTTGGCCCTCACCTCTCCAGCCTTATCCCAGGTCACTCTCCCCCTTGCTCTTTATTTAGCCTCACCCTGCTGAGCTCCTGGTACATAATAAACATTCAGTACATGTCTGCACAATGAATGAAGGGGCTATTTCAACTCTGAGTCAACTAACTGCCCCAGAAGCCATGCTCTGTGGTGCAAGAGGACAAAAGCCTTTGGGCCAACCCTGTAGGACTCCTCCACTACCCAGGACTAATCTCTCCTCATTCGAACTGGCAGTACCCTGACCACAAACCGGAGGCAGAGGCATGCGACTGGCCATCACTGGCGGGGCTATCTGGCAGCTTGGGCTGCAGAGAGGGGAGCCCAAGGCTCAGTACTGACCTCCTCGGCATTCTCCAAGTCATCGAGCCCTTCATCTTCCTCCACGTCATCAAAGTCGTCTCCATCAAAACTGCACAAGTGTAAGAAGCCCGTTAGTTAGAGCATCACTTACTAGAATCAAAGTGGGCAGAGATCTGAGTCTCATGTGATACGTAGGAGGCTCTCAATAAATATCCACCTAACCAGTGAATCATCCAATAAGTTAGTCATCTGACGTCCTCATCTTAACTATGGGCCTCTTCTAGAAAGAGACCCCAGCTGAAGAGCACAGACTATACCTAATACATCTCAACATTTGGTACTGACATAGAGCCCGACTCAGTGGAAGTTTGCTGAAAGGTACTTTTTTCACTGATCCTCTCTGGACCCTCGAGCCGGGGCCTTTTCCGCGCCCAGCCTCTGGCCGGGTCTATGCTCCCAGTTCCCAGCCTTTCCCTTCTCCGGCTCTGCGGGCCCCCTCAGCACCCCTAGTCCCCTCAACCCCTGGCTCCCGCTTCATCCGCCCCTTCTGAGTCTTCGCAAAAGTCACTTAGCTCCCTCACTCACTTGTCCTCGTTGTCTGACATGACGCCCGCGCAGCAGCCACGGTTCCGCGACCCAGACCCGCGCGGAGACCGGCGAACAGCGTACCTCCGTCTCGCGTGCTGCCAAGCGTACTCTGCGCCTGCGCCGTGACCTAGAGGTAATCACTTCCGGGAGGCAGGCGGGGCGAGAAATATGCACATGCGCGAAGCGGTTTGTCTGCGTTACCATGGTAGCCGGAGCCGCTAGCTGCAGGCTCTAGTGGCTGAGATCTCAAAAGTATTTCTGCGAGGGCCCAGGCGCGGCTGCTGCTTCAGAGCCTTGATTACGACCTCCGGAGCCCAGCCGCCGCTCTCTGTGGGGAGAGAGGCCACCCAGCCGGGGTCTTACTTTAAGGTGAGGTTTCCCCTTTGGGCGTATCACACACGGACACGGCTGCCCTCACGCCCCTTTCCTCCCGAGGGGGCTTCCCTGCCACAGGCGCCAGGTCCGGATGAGGTCTCTGTTCGCGTGTGTATATCTGCCAGTGGATCTGTTCAAGGTGGAAGGATCGGGCACTGTCGCGATGTTGACAGGCGGCATCACGATTCTTTTGCGACCCGACACCCGCTCCCAAACTTTGGGTGGTGTTGAGGGTGTGAGAAGAGATTGGATCTGGGAGACAGGGAATGTTTCGTTGGGTTTTTCCCTCTTCAGAGCCCTCCCATGGCTTCCCAGGAGAGTGTGGAGACGGTGACTAAAGGAACAGGGTTCTGGCGCTGTCCCAAGCCGACCACTTACACCCCAGGGACCTGCGAGCTGCTCAGAGGTCAGTGCATTAAAGGGCACAAGAAGAGCGGTGGTCACAGTTACCCTGTTTCTCAGTTCTCCCCTACATTACTTATGGCTTAGTAATTGTATTTTCAGTTTACAGATAAGAAGCCTGGAGTTCAGAACGATTCAGGGGTCCGGGTCCTACAACTTGGAAGTGACTCAAAGTCAAAGAACTAAGAATTTCAGAGTAGTTAACTCCCATGAACCCCTTAGATCACACTTTCAGTTTCCCCAGGGAAGACTTATTTCCTCCCCACCCATCATCACCACAGTGGAACCGTTATGTGTCTGCACACTACCAAATACCTTTTCCTTCACTGGGCTTAGTGCAACCTGTAATCAGATACCTAGTGTGTTCCATTGAATTAACGTTGAATTAACATTCAATTCATGAACTCCATCAGGGCATGATGTTTTGGCTCACATTTGTAGCTCCAGTCCCTGGCACATGCTTAATGAATACTTGTTCATTCACTCATTCATTCACTCAACAAAAAAAGTTTTAAAGCCCACTGTGTGCTTGAGACATTGTCCCAGGTGCTGAAAACACAGCAATAAAAAAAGAAATAAGGAAAAATTCTTGTTCCCTTGGAGCTAATATTCTAGTAGGAAAGTAATAAATAAGTAAGGTATATAGAACTTAGATGGTGATGAGTGGTATAGGGAAAAAAAATGTAGAAAAGAAAAGGAATTCCCTCGTGGTCCAGTGGTTAGGACTCAGTGTTTTCACTGCCGGGAGACCCAGGTTCAATCCCTGTTCAAGGAACTCAAATCCCACAAGCCAAGTACTCAGGTAGCCAGAATGGGAGCAGGAGGTGATACAATATTAAATTTCAGTGGGGTGAGATGAAGGCATCTGCTTGCAGCCCAGGAAGCCTCACTGAAGTGCTTTGTCTTGCAGTGATGGTGAAGGAATCCAAACTGACTAACTTCCAACAGCGCCACATCATGGACACCATTAAACGTAAGAGGCTGACCAGAGAGGTTTCTGGGTGAAAGGAATTCTGGGTCACATTGTAATGCTTTCTCCATGTTGAGGAGTAGGGAACCTAGTTTTAAACACACACACACACACACACACACACAACAAAATTTGAATAGTATTTCTGACCCTTGCTCTCAGGGAATTGACCTTGCAGGGTCTTGGTCTTTGCTTCTTCCCAAGACATGGGTCCCAGCCCATGAGCCACTCCTGCAATCCGGCTCTAGCCGGCCTTCCCAATAGGGCACCAGCCCATTTGAGACTTCCTGCCCAGTCATACAGTCCAAACGCTGTCAAGTCTGCAATCTCTCCCACCCTCTTACACACATACCATATGAGCACTCCAGACGAGAGTCCTGTGTGTGTCTCATGCATGGTTTTATTCATTCATAGCTTAGCTAGCAGAAACTCGATTAATGGCAGGCTTCCAACATAGAAAAACTATGCAAAACCTTTCCACACTTCACCTCTTGACCACACACTATATTATTTATTTTTAAGGAAAACAAAAAACTGAATGTACATGGGCATGGTAACAAGGTGCCCTCTAAGATCTTTTTTTTTTTTTTTACAAACAAAACAATCTTTTATTAAACCATTTTTACTTTTATTTTTGCAAGTACAATTATTTAACCTGAAGCATTGAATATGATTTAACTCTAATCATTTGATCTTGCCTCTTGTTACAAAATGGGGTTTTATGTATCTTTTTATTTTACCCTCAAAAACTTACAGTTTAGGGAAACTGCTCACTGTGGAAGAAATAGAGTCAGATATTTGACTAGTACTATGCACATTAGAGTGCTCCCCTGATAGCTCAGCTGGTAAAGAGTCTACCTGCAATTGCAGGCGATCCCAGTTCAATTCCAGGGTTCGAAAGATCTCCTGGAGAAGGGATAAGCTACCCATTCCAGTATTCTTGGGCTTCTCTGGTGGCTCAGCTTGTACCTTCTAAGATCTTGAAAACAACCTTGCTTTCTGAGATTTAACTGAATCAGCTTTTAGGGGATCAGAACAGAGATCTGTAAAGTTACCTTTAAGAGGATACCAGAAGGTTCAAGCCTGCCAAGTTTCACTCAAATCTACCAATAGCTATTGCCTTTCAGGAAAGAAGGTGCCTATCAGGAGGCATCTGGTCAACCACAGAAACTGGAATGGGAGAGTCAGAGAGACAAAGACTGACTGCCCAGCACTGGCTGGGGGAGGGAGGCTCCATCAGGTTAGTTCAGAAGTCAGATCTCCTTCCTCTTTGTGGACAAGGACAACTCAGGCTGCCAGAGCCTAATACCACAACGCAGCTGAGTCACATAACTCAATCTCCATACTCAAGTCATCTACTAATCATTTGATGTCCCCTACAGATCCCCTGGAGAAGGGAATGGCAACCCACTCCAGTACTCTTGCCTAGAGAATCCCATGGACAGAGGAGCCTGGTGGGCTATAGTCCATGGGTCCCATAGAGTCAGACATGACTGAGCAACTAACCCTTCCTTCCTTCCTTACAACATGACAATAAAGAGAATGTGCTAGAAATTTCATTAAAAGTAAATACCTGGAGACCAAGGATTGAGCCTGCCTTGTTCACCACTGTACCTTGACTCCTAGTGAAAGTGAAGTCGCTCAGTTGTGTCCTACTCTTTGCAACCCCATGGACTGTAGCCTATCAGGCTCCTCCATCCATGGGATTTTCCAGGCAAGAGTACTGGAGTGGGTTGCCATTTCCTTCTCCAGGAGATCTTCCTGACCCAGGGATTGAACCCGGTCTCCCGCGTTGTAGGCAGACCCCTTACCATCTGAGCCACCAGAGAAGTCCTTGACTCTGAGGTGCTCAATATTTATTGACAAACTAATTGTATTAGTGGTTAGGTCAACACAAGTCACCAGTTTGCCTGGCAGTTTTTTTCTCCTTACACATTTTCTCTTTAAAATATTCCCTCCAAGCATTGGTATTGAGTGTACTTTCTTCTCCTAGATTCCCCTCTCTTCTCTCTTCTTAACCAAGTCCTACTTGTTTGTTTGAGGCTTAGTTTAAATTCTTTTGCAAGCCACAAATTCCTCTCCTTCACCTGAACTCCCAGAATTGCTTGGCTCTAATTATTTGCTGAGACTGAGCCAAAAGAAAAGGTGGCATTTGGCATTGGACAGGTAGAAATAGCAGAGAGAGTATGAGGAACATTCTGGAAAGGACAGCATCTCTTCAGAGAAGAGAGAGAAAAACCGTGGTTGGCCCTAGATAGAGGGCATGAGAAAGGAAAGGCAGCGGGAAACAATGGCAGCTCCATCCTTCTGGTTCGTCTGGGCAGACGCATCAGAGTCATCTTGTCCCCTCTTTCCCTTTCTCCGAGACCCCACATCCAACCCACCAGCAGTCCTGTCTGCTTGATCTTCAAACCATATCCTGACTGTGATTATTTCTGCCCTTGATCCCCGTGCGTGCGTGCTCAGTCACTTCAATCTTGTCTGACTTTTTCTGACACCATGGACTGTAGCCTGCCAGGCTCCTCTGTCCATGGAATTCTCCAGGCAAGAACACTGGAGTGGGTAGCCATACTCTCCTCCAGGGTATCTTCCAGACGCAGGGATCAAACCCATGTCATTTATGTCTCCTGCATTGGCAGGCAGGTTCTTTACCAGTAGCACCACCTGGGAAGCCCTTGACCCCCAACTCTGTATTTTCTTCTTTTTTTTTTTTGCTTGCGCATCTTGAGGGATCTTAGTTCCCAGACCAGGGATCAAACCTGTGGTCCCTGCAGTGGAAGCAGGGACCACCAGGAAATTCCCAATGCTGTATTTTCAATGGCAGCTAAAGGGGTGACTCCTCTGCTCAGAACCCTCAATGGCTTCCCACCTCACACACAATAAAAGCCAGTCTTTCCAGAGGCCTATGAGGCCCCGCCCGTCTCCTGCCCTCCCTGACCTCTCACCTCTACTCCCACGCCACCCCCCCCCACCCCGGCTCAGTCCATTCCTGGCACCCCAGCCTCCTGTCTGTTCTCAGATGCTCTGGGAACATTCCCACCTCAGGACTTGACCCATCCTGCCTAGAATGCTCTTCCCTAAAATATCACCTTGGCTGGCCTCTTACCACTTATGGGTCTTTTCTCAAATGTCACTGTCGGTGAGGCCTTCCCCGGCTGCCCTATTTATAACCGTGAATCCTGCTCTGATACACCCTGTGGCCCGTCCCTGCACTGCAACCATTGCCGTACTGTCGGCATCGCCGCTGTTACCATCGTCTAAACCCAGATGGAAGCACTGTGAGGGCAGGGCTTCGTCTGACCTCTCTACCCCGTTTCCGGGCCTGGCTCATAGAGTGCATGCTCGATACTCCCTGCTGGGTGATGACAGAGAAGGCTGGAAAGGGACGGGAGGTAGACAGGATCCAAGTCAAAACAGAGGTTGGAGGGCGTTCCCTGGCAGTCCGGGGATCTGGACTGCTGGTTAGGCTGCTGGTTAGGACTCTGAGCTTTCACTGCCGAGGGCGCAGTTTCAATCCCTGGTCAGGGAGCTAAGATCTGCGTGGGCACGGCCAAAAGAATAAGGACGTTTTAGATAAATGGAGTGATTTGGAAAGATGTTCATGGTAGATTTTTAATTCAGTTCAGTCGCTCAGTTGTGTCTGACTCCTTGCGACCCCATGGAAGATTGTTAGTCTATTACTGAATAGAATGCAGTGTGATCCAATCTTTGAAAAATGAATCGTATACATGCCCATATATCTTTGAACATGATTATGTAAGCATCAAAAAGAATGGGCTGAGACCACCAAATTGCTACCACCACTCATTGTAGAGGGGAGGGTATGGAGGGGAGATGGGAAGACTCTTCCATACCGTTTGACTTATTTTAACAGGTAGGGACTACTTAGGTGGGCCCCCTGACCCTGACCCTTCCCTCCCCAGGAGGAGACACTCTCCCCCTGCAGTGCAGCCCAACTTCCAGCCAGAGGGTCTTGCCTTCCAAGCAGCCAAGCTCAGCCATCTACCTGCCTCCCATCCTGGCAGCCCGGTCCCACCTCCGGCCTGCCAGGAGGTGCCAAGCCAACGGGGCCTACAGCCGGGAGCAGTTCAAGCCTCAGGCCACCCGTGAGTAAGCGGCCTCGACCTCAGCCCCTCTTCTACCCTCCGAGGGGGGTTGAGGGGGGCGGGGAGACGAACAGCCCACAGGGTGCTGCGCAAGCAGCTAATCAAATTCTCAGGCTGTTTACACCAGTGCTCTCCAACCTCCCCACCTGTTAGCTTGGAGGCATTCAGGGTGTGTGGGAAACCAGTTAGCTGGTTACTTTGTATACATTTTCCCAGAATTCTCTTTAACAGTTAACTGGTTTCCCCCCACCTCTGATGAATCTTTGGAGGTCAGGTGTCACAGCTGTTGCTCTCTCAAGCTCACATGGGGCCTGGAACCCCGGGTTCCTCTGTGCCCTAGCCTGTTTCAGAGAGCGATTACATCCCCCGCTTTCCACTTGGCACCTGATGTGACTCTTGGCCCCTCCACACGGCCTCCCCATCCGGGCTATACTGCACAGTCATTGAGTTTCCTTAGCCTTGCTCTGTACCCAGGCAGTCTGTGGGTTTTTTTTTTTTTAATAATTTTATTTATTTATTTTTGGCTGTGCTGGGTCTTCCTGCTGGCTTTTCTCTAGTGCAGGCAAGCAGCGGCTAGTCTCTAGCAGCAGCGGGCAGGCTTCTCGTTGTGGTGGCTTCTCCTGAGGAGCACCTGGGCTTCAGGAGTTGCGGCTCCCAGACTCTGAAGCACAGGTTCAGTAGCTGTGATGCACGGGCTTAGTTGCTCCGTGGCATGTGGGAGCTTCCCAGATCAGGGATCGAACCCCATGGCTCCTGCATTTAAGAATCTGCCTGCAATGCAGGAGAGCTGGGTTCGACTCCTGGGTCGGGAAGATCCCCTGGAGAAGGAAATGGCAATCCACTCCAGTGTTCTTGCCTGAAAAATCCCGTGGACAGAGGAGCCTGGCAGGCTACAGTCCATGGGGTCGCAAGAGTCGGACACAACTTCGCGACTAAACCACCACATTTACTGCTGAGCCAGCAGGGAAGCCCCGTGTGTGGGTTCTGATGAAGCTCTCTTCTGGGTCCTTCCAACATCTTCCGGCCTACTGTGACTTGACCAGTGCAGAGGCGGCCCAGGGTAGGAGGTGCTGGGTTTGCAGAAGCCCTACCATGTTCCCAGGCACCCTGGAGTGAGCATGCTCCAGGAATTGGGGGTGCCCTGCCCACCTTACCTAGGCCACTTCTGGGCCCGACAGGGGATCTGGAGAAGGAGAAGCGAAGACTCCAGAATATCTTTGCCACCGGGAAGAAGCCAGAGGAACGGAAAAGAAAGCCCCCTCCCGTGCGACAGGAGGACCCAGCCCCCGAGCTGGACCGCTTTGAAGAACGTGAGTCCCTGAGGGGCCAGCTATGCTGGGGAGGGGAAGGGGGAGTGTGTGTGGAAGAGCCCGGGGAGCAGGGGAAGGGGGATCCCTGAGGGCCATCGAGTGGGAAACGGACCACAGGACTGCTCCCCGTTCCCGAGAGGCTACCTGCCCCCCCACCATCCCTCCCAGGAGCGTGGGGGCCCCTGTTGTCCTGTGCACGGACGGCCCTCTCCCTGTCCAGTGGTGAAGGAAGTTCAGGAGAGGAAAGAATTCCTGGCTGACATGGAGGCCCTGGGGCAGGGCAGACAGTACCGCGGGATCATCCTTACTGAAATCTCCCAGGTAGGAAAAGCACCAGGGAAGGTGGACGGGACGTGGGTGCGGGGGACGAGACGTGAGCCGAAGTGAGGGTCCACTCGGGCCGTTTTGGGGGTCCCACTCTAGCCTCACATCTGCCCTGACACCCAGCTTTCCCCAATGCCCTTTGCAGAAACTACAGGAAATGGAAGACATTGACCACAAGAGGAGTGAGGAACTTAGGAAAGCTCTTGCCACCACTTAACCTTCCACTCGCCCCTACTCCCCACCCCAAGGAGGGCGGGGGAGCCCACCCCCTTGCCAAGCCGGGTCACCCCCAGGTCAGTCCACCCACTCTGCCCTTCAGCCATGGAAATGGTTGTATAGCACTGCCCCCACCTACGGTACCCTGGACACCCTAGAAAATGGACCACATCTCAGAAAATGAGCTGATTCTCCTCCAGACTCTGCCCAGGGTCAGCTGAGCCTCTGAGACCAGTCACAGATCAGACACCCACACACACACACATACACACACACGCACGCACGTGCACACACACAGTGAAAGCAAGTCCAGGTCTTAACCACCTTGGGTATGTGTCTAAGGGTGTCCACTAGGGCCTCTTCCCAACGCTTCGCCCACTGTGTGTCCCTGTGTCCCACACATTAGGTTTTCTGAACTTAGTAATGAATATGATTCCTTTCTTCCTACCCGTCTTAGGACCTACTTGTTTGACTTCTTACAGCCTTGGACAAATATTTAACCACTATGATTAACTGGCTAATAAAACACATTTACTGTAGGTCATTACACACACCATTTTGTTTTCAGAGGGATAAGGCTTATTTGTTCAAGGAGTTAGAATTTTTCAAGCCCAGTTGGTTTCTAGCTGTTTTTTTCCAGTAAAAATGGAACCAAGGCTCCGGGAGCAGCCCATGGGCGGGTGCTATGCTAGGCGCCGATGTCGATGTCGCTCCTGGCTGATTCCCTCAGTAAACACCGGCGATGGTTCATCATCCCTGGTGAAAACCAGGTCTCACCCAGAGTCTCCAACCAGAGGCATTTAACCAACAAGTGGCCTCCTCGGGATTCAAAGTTAGCTTTCGGTCTTTCCACCACCAAACCCACAGCCCATAGAAAGAAACCCAAAGGGGTGGATGCATCCAGACTGAAGGAGCCTGCTCCAGAGATCCACCCCCAGCCCGTGTGTCTGAGCCCGCCCGCCATATCTCCAGCAGCTCGCCTGTGAGGCCTGGGTGCTGAGATGTACAGCCACAGGAGCTGCGTCCCAGGCCTGGCACACAGCATGCAGCAGTCCCCACAACTCTGACAACCACAGGCCTTACGCTCTCCAGTATCCTGTCATTTTCCCATCCCCGTAAATCAAAGTATTTCAGAAATTTCAACCAAGCCTCCCACTTGGAGGGATTCAGATAATCCTCTCAGGCCACATGACCCCAGTTGGGGTTTGCAGAATAAATATAGTCCTGCAGCCGCAAACAAATAAACAGAGAGGACCAGCTCAAGGGCTGGGGCTCTGGAACATTCCATGGGAAGCCTGCGTCCACACTCCCTCAAGAACCCCAGGGCTCAGGGCGCAACCTGAGGACAGTCATCCTCTACCTCGAAGGCCGCAGCATGTGGCCTAGAGGCAGCAAACCAGAGAACCCAGGACCGAGTCAGCCCACTCTGACACGGTAGCACGTACCCTTAATTTCAGTGCAACTCAGTTTTACAAAGTACACACACGCTCCACTGGATTTCCAGTTTCTTTTGAAAAATGCAAAGATCTGGCCCCACTGGGCCCACATCCCACAGGCTACAGCTGACTTGGGTGAGGGACAGCCTCCCCCTAGTTGCGGTGTATCCACCCCAGTTTACCCCAGTCCCCACCACCCAGGTGTCCTGACGCCAAGGCAGCCTGCCGGGGCCGCCCCGCAGGACGCGCCCAGCCTGGGTTCACGCGTGTCCCCTGCCTGGCCCCCGAAAAGCGCTGGAGCTGGTGAGCCCAGCTGCAGGTCAACAGGCCCATCAGGAAGGAGACGCTCGGAGGCGGCACTGGTCCCTACAGAGGAAGGCGTCCTGCCCAGGGGCAGGGAGAGAGGGCCAGGGGCCTCCGGCGGTGGACAACCCCTCCACGCCTTCCTGGGCCAGCGGAGATGCCGGCCAAGAGGCATGGCGGAGGCAGGGAAGAAGGTAGGCCTGGCCAAGGGGAGGGAGGCCCAGGGCTGCAAGGCACTGGCAGCGAGGTGGTCTCTGTTTATTGTCGGTGAGGAAAAACCTCTCAAGGTAATACAGTGTGATCTTTCCCCAGAGGCGTGCTGAGGGAAGGGCCCTAGAGGCACCCCGCAAATAGCTTATAGCAACGGTGCTTCGCCCCAGGAGCTGCTGGGCCCGTCCCCTGGGGCGAAGGTGCTGGTCCCCATCGGCTCCCCTCCTCCCACAGCCGTCCCAGGGCGTGAGCGGCCATCAGTCCTTCGGAGGCGACGAAGTCGGGAAGGAACAGACAACAGGCGCGTGCGAGGAGACAGGCTGGCGCTGACCCCCCGGGAGCGGATCCGCCGCACCCCAGCCCTGGGGTGGCGGGGAGAGTCTACAGGAGGGGCCGGGGCCACGGTGTGTGGGGAAGGGCCAGGGTTAGCACCTACGGGCAGCACGCCCGCCTCCCCCGCGGCCCTCCCTCGGGGGTTCAGCTCTCGGGCACCCCACCCGCCCCAGCACCCTGTCCCGGGCAGGGAAACTTCCTGCGGAATGAGCGGAGGTGAGGGAAGCACCTCCTAGGACTTCGAGGAACAAAGGGAGGGGTCTGTCCATCAGGCCCCTTCGGGTCTTGAGGACATAGTAACTACCTCCAACTTTAATTAAGAGACTTCATAAATAGAGCTCCTGAGTGCGGAGAAAGAGAGGCAGGGCCGCCTGCCCCGACAGGAAGACAGGGACTCAGACCCAGGATGGGGTGGGGGCAGGAAGGGCCCAGTGCGGCCGAGCCTGGCTTGCCAGGCTGCCCAGAGGGCAGGAGCCCCAGGCCAGAGGGCCCACCACAGGCAGACCTCCGTGGGTGGACAGACCCTCCACTCCCCTCTGCACATGGTATAGGCGTGAAGCGGGACCAAGGGCAGGGAGACCCTGCTCGCTCCTGGGGTCAGTCACAGCATCTGGAGTCAGGAGAGCCAGGCTGGGGGCTCAGAGAGAGAAAAACTGTTTGGCCCAGACCAGCCAGAGGACCCTGAGGAGGGAGAGGCCATCATCCAGAGGCTCCCTCCCCTAAGTCATCTTTCCTCTCAACTGATCCTGAAGGGACACAGAAGCTCCCCCCCCGCCCCGCAGAGTGCAGCCAGTGGGGGGTGGTGTCCTGGCTGGCAGTCCGCGCCGTTAGCTCCTGTCTCCGGGGCACTTGCTCTTGGTATCACGCTTGTTTCCTAGCAGCTTCAGCACCTTCATGGTCTTAAACTTGCCCTTCTTCTTGCCCTCGGGCTCAGCCTCCTTCTGGAACTCTGCAGAAGGGAAAGGGTGGTCGATTGGGGCAGGCCAGGGGATGGCAGTGACAGCCAGGGGGCGGGAGTGACAGCCAGGAGCAGCAGTGACGGCCGGGGGGCAGCATTGATGGCCGGGGGGGCAGCAGTGACAGCCGGGGGGGCAGCAGTGACAGCGGGGAGCAGTGTCGGCGGGGAGTGGCAGCCAACAGTCTCGGCCCACCACCACCACCACCACCATGTCGCCTGGAACCGTGGACATGTCCCTTCATCCTTTTGCATCTCCAGTTCTTCACCTCCAGGACAGGACCCCACCCCTTCCCAGCATTTTGGCAGGGATCGGGAGATGAGCGCTCATGAAGGCAGTGGGGGAGCCCTAGAGCACAGCTGACATTTTATCTCTGAAAGCTTCGATTCCCCTGCAGCTCTGTGGCTTACAACACAAACACTGACTGTCAGAGCTAGAAGAAACCGCAGAAATCATCTGGCCCAGTCCCTCACTTATTATGGACAAGGAAAATGTGAGTTTGAAACAGATTACCACCAACCGAGCTCTTTGTGGGTGCCAGGGCCTGGCTAAGTGCTTTATACACGTTATCTCAGTCATCCTCAGCACCTACCCAGGAGGTGGGCGCCTCTGTCACCCCCATCCTGCAGACAAGGAGAGTCAGGCCTGGAGGGGTGAGGCGCTGGCGCAAAGCCACCCAGCTGGGACGCGTCAGAGCTGGGACCAGAATCCAGTCTAACTGGAGCCCAGACGGAACCGCAAGGCCACAAAATGAGTCACTGGGGGAACCAAGATTAGGCCCAGGCCTCCTGACTCCCAGTCCAGTGCTCTCTCGATTCTGGGCACTATCTTCTCCAAGGGTGAGGGGGACTGCTCTTTGAGCCCACAAGACCCCTCCTGAACCAGCTGTGGATCTCAAGGAGGAACGCACAACTCAAGGCAGACATGCCCTGGGAAACGGCCCCATGTGTCATCAACCTCCCTGTTGGTACCACGGCATCCCACACCCATCTTCCTGGCCATAGGTTGGCCTGCCTTGCTACACATGGCCTTCTTGGCAAAAGAAAGGCTTGTACACACTGTCCCTGTGGGTGCCCCTTCCAACTCTGTATTCAACCGGCCCTCCCACCCTGCAGGAGTTCAAACGGGTCAGAGCCCCAGGAAGGGCCTCACCTTTCTTCTTGATCATGGCCTCCAACATCTTATCTTCCTCTTCCTCCCTGAAATGAGACAGGGAAGCTGAGTGTCCCACAGGAGGAAGGGCCAGATAATCTCTCAGGCCCCTCCAGACTCTGAGTCCACACAGCTGAGCACGGGGAAGCTGGGATGGTTGGCAGTGAAGGTCTCATTCCCAAGAAAGCCCCGGGAACCCTGCCCCCAGCCACGTCACCTCTGCCGGTCCTCGTCCAGGCAGTTGATGATGGCGTTGCGCTGCTCGATGAGGGTCACGAGCTCTTGCATCAGCACCTTCTCTCGGCCCCGGTCCTCCTCTGTCCAGTCCTTTTCTGCTCAAGGAGAAACGTCGGGGACATGAGGCCCAGGAAGCGAGGAACCAACGCCTAAGTGCTAAGGGTGGCTGCAGACCAGCCCCACGCTGGAGAGCATGAGGACAAGGAGGAGCCCAGATGGGTGGGGATTCCAGTTTTTGGAGAAATGAAGGTTGTTGCAGAAGAGACCAAGAATACCAGTCTGCCTACCAAAGACACTCTCCCGGGGGGCTCCGAGAGGACCAGTACAACACAGGCTCTGAGAACAGAGACCAGCATGGGCCAAAGAGTTTTCTGTTTATGTTCACGCATTCATGCAACCAATGTTCACTAGGTGGCTCTTGGGGGAGGCAGGATTCCGGCTGGGCCTGCTGAGAGTTCCCAGTGGCGGGCTGGCCAGAGTCGGGAGATAACAGGGAACCCCGGGGTCCTCGTACAGCAGAAGCAATGTGACCCAAGAGGCACACTCGGACATCCATCTAATGCCATGAAGGAGGGTGGACTAGAAGGGACCCTGGGGGTTGGGAGACCTGCCAGGAAACGTCCCTGATGTCTCAAACACCTGCTGCCCTCCCCCCTCAGTCTCCTGATTTCAAGAACCCAGGCCATCCCACAGAACCACACCCTCAGAGACCCACCTGCTCCTTGGTATTCCTCTGACCCAGCCCACAGACTTCCAGGGGACGAATGCCCCCACATTTGACCTTCCCGCTACGACATCTGCCACTACAGGCCCCCTCATCTCCTAATAACATCCTGAGACCCCTCAGCCATGCCCCAACCCCGCACCGCCGCCTCCTGCCAAAACTGGACCAATGGCCCAGCACAGTTCCAGGGACAATGTGGGTTTCAGAGCCATCACCCCAGTCCAAAGCCTACTCTGCTGTTTCTCGAACCTGGGGCCTGGATAAGTTATGTCCGCAGCCTACATGGGGGAAACTGAGGCTCAGGGGAGCTAAGTCTTTGACCAGCGTCACACAGCAAGGGTGGGGCCAGTGCCTGTTTCCTGGCGGCCCCAGGTCCCCAAGCTACAGCCCTTACGGCGTCTTACAGATCTCCAGCCCACCAGGGGCCTTTAAACAGGTATCACCCTCCAAAGGCGACAGTCAGGACAGGAAGACAAGCCCAGGATGCACTGCCATCTCACACAGGACTGGAGAATAGCATAAAAGACCAGGGCCAGGCTGGCCTGGAGAACAGAGGTGCGGGCCTCTCTCTGGCCACAAGGTGTCGCTGCGGCTCCTCGGAGTGGTGGCCACGCCCCAGCCTCCGGAGATTTGGGAGTGACTCAGAGAGGGCAGTGGAGGGCTGGGACGTTCTGTGACTTCCCCAGGGGCATTCCTGACTCTGGGTCTCATCCAGCCTCCCAAGCTGCCCGGTCAAGGGGAAAGCAGGGCGGCCATCCCAGCTAGGAGGAGGGGCTGCGTGTGTGCGGGCACACGGCCAAGTCAGAGACTCGGAAGGAAGCCCGGCTCCACCACCAAGGGGCGAGACTCAACCTCTCTGGCTCTCCATTTCCTCATCTGTTCAATGGGAAACAACGATTCCTAACCACCTGGGCCAGAGGAAGTGGTCAAAAGCCCTGGCTCCTGCCTCTGGACGCACCACAGTCCTGCAGTCTCTCTCAGCCCACAGCTGTGCTTACCCCACGTCATGGAGAGACCCCAACTCGGTCACATAGTAAGCATCAGCCCCCCTCCAAGGGCACAGCGCATTTCCACATCCCATCTCCTGGTCCTGAGAACACCCACCCAGGTGGGCACCTCTGTTCCTGTGTCACACATGGAGCCAGAGACTGCGTGCCAAGCCCGGGATGCACAGCTAACACACATCCTAAGGACACCAGCAAGTTCCCACAGGGCACAGGACGCTGTGGCTCCACGCCCAGCCCCTCCCCCTGCCCTCCTCCATCTTCAGCACACCCCATCCCTCCCTCCCAGAGTCGCTCTGAGCCACACTGTGCAGGGGGGCCTCCCCATACCAGTAGAGTCCTGCCACGCTCTGACCTAATGGCCATGAGCCCAGAGCTGCCCCAGGACAGACACATGCTCTCCATCATTCATCGAGGCAGCCTGGGGCCCTGGAGACTGACCCCCCCAACCCTACACCCCAGGACCTACCCACCCACACCTTCCAGGGGAGGAGGGGGCCAAAAAAGGTCAGTCTGCTCCTGGCCTTGGGGTGCTCTCTGCAGGTCTGTCATCCGACACACAGATGTCACAGCCCCACGTGGGTTCCCTCTCCCGTCTTGGCTTGAGTCTATTAATCCCCTATTAGGACCCAGACAGCACCTCCCGCCATGTCCTCTGGCCCTGCTCCCACAGACTGCCCAGGCCTCCCCATCAGGGCTCTGTCCGTCCTTCCCCAGGCCACTCCTCCGTGTCACCAGGCCCCAGGGCTGGTGACCCGGGACGGGGCGTGGCCGCTGTCACCTGGCTTGTTGAGAAGGCACCGGAGCTCGTACTCCACGTCGGCCTGCCGCTGCTCCAGGTTCTGCTGCTTGAAGCTGGAAGGTGGGAAGAAGGTGACTGTTAGTTCTGCCCTGGCTGCCTGCCCTGCCCTGAGCTGATGCGGGAAGAAGGTGAAGATTCTCAGTCCTGAGTTCTGTGGATTCAGAGTCAGGGGGAGCCGGGCAGGGACAGAGGGGAGGCAGGACTCACACATAGATGAGCTCAGACTCCCGCCGAACCAACAGATGCTTCTCGTGGATGAGCTTGAACCAGTCGACTAGCATGTCATCCTCACGGCCTTCTGCAAGCCAGATGCTCACTGAGGCCAGGGCTGGTGACAGTCCCCATTCTCGAAGGAGCCATGGTGGCCCCTACCCTGGGGAAGAGGCTTCCCCCACCCGAGTCCCCCCACCACCGCCAAGCCCCCCACAGCCCCCACACCATTCACTCCACCACGCAGCTTCTCCTCCAGCAGGACCCCACGGTGTTCCAGGGCATCCAGCTGGCGCTCAATGGTGTCTATTTCTCCGTGGATATCCTCCTCGGGGATGTACTGGTCAGACTGGACCTGCCCAACAGCGCCCAGTCACCTGCGGTCAGCCTGCCCTCCCACCTGTCTGCTGCCAGGAGCTTCCCTCTGGCTAGCGCTGGCCTCCCAGGCTCTGTCCCACACCCCATGCCCTGGGTCCCAGGGCCATCAGGCACGCCCAGAGGGCGACACAACCTTCTGCTCCTCTTGGCAACTTCCCCCACTCCTCTGCCACTCCAGAAAGGCACCATAATATGAGAAAGTGACCCAAAGGATAGAGAAACCTAGAGCACTCTAAGCTGTTTAAGTAGAAGTATGTCATGGGAACGCTTTGATCCTTAAACTATTATTAGTAACAATTTAAATGCATCACCCAGTGCTTTTGGTCAGAGCAGCTGATCTGCTCAAAATTCCCCCTGGCTGCAAGTCAGATCTCCCAGCTGGGCCTCCCAGGCACACCCCCTTTCCCACATCTCAGGGAAGCTGCCCCGACGGACCACCCTGTCGCAGGGTGCAACAGGAAGCCTGAGGCCGCCAAGGGAAGGGGCCCGAGCCCAGGCAGCCAAGTATCTGGGGCTCCCAGCAGATACCTTGCGTTTGATGAGCGGGAAGCCATGTCCTGGGGCAGGCGGTCTCGCTGGCTTCGAGCCCTTGGTGGCCTTCTTTACACTTGGGGATGCTGTAGGTGATGGCTTCCGGTTAAATGGATTCTCCTTGCAGGAGGACTAAAGGCAGGGAAACATAACAGAAGATATTAATAAGTCAGGAAGGGGCAGTAGGACCCTGGGAGCTCTATCAAATGGGACCATGGAAAGAAGGGCGGGTGGGAATCAGGCAGAGAATCTCCCAGCATCCAGTCTGAGGCACCCAGTCATTCAACAAAGACTTCTACTTCCCAGAGCCTCTCATGTGCAGCTGCCACACTGGATCCTTGTCTAAATGCTTGTCCAATTCTCACAACCACTCCACAAAGTGGGTCGTGTCTGCCCACTTTACAGGTGAGTAAACTCAAGTTTTGAGGGGTTAAGTAACTAGCTCAAGGTCACACTCTTCCCAAGGGCCCAAGCTGGAGTGTGACTTGGTCTGTTTCAGGCTGGGCAGCCCTCCAGTGCTGGGGACAGTGGTCAGGACGTGCAGTTTAGGGCAGGACGAAGCAACAGTAACTCACCCAGGCCTCATAAATACCCCTTTCCCAGCAGGGATTACAGGGCTCAGCGCCTTGCCTGGGGTTGCCCAGCCAGGAAGTGCAAAAGCGGGATCCCGCTTTCAGTAGAGGGAGGCAGCCCCTGCCCCGCCCAGGAAAGGCCCCCATCCTGCGCTGCCCGCCCTGGGAAGATCTCTGTCCTCTCTGAGGCCAGCAGAGCGGGCAGGCCCAGCAGGAGAACAGACCCTGCCAGCCACGAGGGCAGTGCCAGCATCTTCCCACCACCTCCCCCAGCTCATCAGAAACAGGGGTCACTGAGGCCATGGAGTGCTCCCAGGAGTGCTGACCTGGCTTTCCAAGAGCCGGGGGAGGAGCGTGGAGCGGAGGGCATCTCACCCCACCTGTGCCAGCCGCTCAGGTGGGAGAGGGGGAGTTCTTTGAGGCTGGAAGTTGCTCTGGGAGCTGACGCAGGAGTCCAGGTGTGGCCAGGAGACAGTCTGGTCCCCAGAGGGCAGCACCCACCCAAGGGCCTGTCTCCTGCCCTCACTGTCTCAGATTCCCCCCGAATCCTAGGGTGAGGGTAAGGGATGGGGCACCCCAGAAGGCAGCCCCCTTGGGGCTCGGCCCTCACCCTCCACAATCACACCTGGAGCAGCTCAACAGGGTCAGAAAGCCCAAAGGCCCCGTGTCCCTCAAGGGTTCTCAGCCATAGAACTCCTTCAAACCAACCTTTCACACACCCCAGGGCAGGAAACGGGCATTTGCCTGTAGGGGGGGACGGGGCGGATTCAAAATCAGCTCTATCTTCCACTTCCACAGCAAGGAACCTGGGACCCCTCAGAGCATCCACAGGCCCAGAGAAAAGGCAGGACCTTGTCCAGGTCACACTGCAGGTGGTGACAGTCGGACTGAGGGCGGCGGACCAGGCCAGAGAAGGTTAAATGACATTTGCAAGGTGCACACACCAACAGCTCAGGCTCCTCTGCAGACTCATCCCCTGTCAGGCTGGTCAGACCAGGACTACAGCCGGCCTGGAGCCACCCTCCACCCCCGGACCCTCAGAGGACTGCAGAGTGAGGGAGAAAGTGCAGGATCAGAACCTGGTGGTGGACTTCCCCGGTGGTCCAGTGGTTAAGAATCCGTTTACCAATGCAAGGGACTCGGGTTCGATCCCTGGTCCAGGAAGATTCCACATGCCTCGGAGCAACTGAGCCTGGGCACCACAACTACTGAAGCCCACACTCCGGGGCCCGCGTGCTGCAACTCCTGAAGCCCATGCGCCTAGAGCCTGCGCTCGGCCACAAGAGAAGCCACCACAGTGAGAAGCCGGCACATGGCAACAAAGAGGAGCCCGTGTGCCTGCAACCAGAGACAGACTGTGCGTAGCAAAGACGACCCAACACAACCAAAACTAGTTCGTAATTTTTTTAAAAAAGAACCTGGTGGCTCCGGAACTACCCTAGTGGCTCAGCAGCTAAGACTCTGCAGGGGGCCCAGGCGTGATCTTTGGTCAGAGAACTCGATCCCACATGAAGCAACTAAGAGTTTGCATGGCGCAACTAACGATCCCACGTGCCGCAGCTAAGACCTGGCACAGCCAAATAAAAAAAAAAAGAACCTGGTGGCACAAAGGGACTCTGGTCCTTTAATTAAAAAAAAAAACAAAAAAAACCTGGTGGTGCCAAGTGACTCCGGTCCTTTAATAAATCTTAAAAAAAAAAAGAAAAGAGCCTGGTGGCGCAAAGGAGAGACCTCTTGGTGAACTAGGCGCCCAGAGGAGTGTCCTGCCCCCGGTGACCCCTGGTTCTTGGTGGGGCCCTGAGAAACAAGTGTTCCACCAGTCACAAAGGTCATCTGGAAAACGAGCTGCTGGGGGTGGGTGCCCACTGCAGCCCCCAGAGGGGACGGAGTGTGGGGCCGGCCTGGGTGGGGGCCTGGGGAAGGGAGCGGCAGCCGGGGCTGTCTGTACCCCCACAGTGGCCACAACAGAAGCACCCAGTAAAGCTGTGTCCTGGGCTCTCTACCTGTTGAGAGCTGACCCCTCCTCTACAAGTCTACCCCACAACAAACCACACAAGGCAGTCATCGCCGTATCCCACCCTCCACTTGGCTGTGAGCACCTGGTGACAAGGACCACCACAGCCATCGCCCGGGGAGCCCAGGCCAGCCCGTGCACACAGGAGCGACGCAGTGTACACCATCAGCCCTGTTCTACAGGAGGAGAGACTGAGGTCTCTGCAGAGGAACACGACCCCAAGAAGGGCGCCATCCCCTCCCCTCTGTGCTCTACCCCAGGTGGAAGGACAATCGTCTAGGCCTGTCTCCCTGAGCAGATGGGGAGCCCCTGGAGGGCAAGGACAGGGCCCCAACACTGCTGTGCCAGAACCTGTCACAAATAGGGCTTCAGTGAACGGAAGGCGGACGGAGGATGTGGGTGAGTGGTGGCTGCCGTGTGGTCTCAAACGGGCACGTGCGTGGGCTCGGCAAGTAAATAAGAGCTGGTTGCCTCAAGACATGGAAGGTCGGGCAAGTGGACAGGTGAACAGATGGATAGGCAGTCCGGCCAGCGGATGAAAGGATGTTGAGAGGGAGCTGTACCTCAATGCACGGAGTGATGAAGGGCCAGATGGGCAGAGTCAAGGTCACCCCACAAGTCAGGGCCAGCAACGATGGAAGACTCTGGACATTCCTGCCCCGAGATCAGGCCCACGTCCACTAGACAGGACAGCAGACACTCACCTTCACCTGGAGCTGCGGGGACGAGGTTCCAGGCGAAGGCGCAGGGCTCTTGTCTCCACCCAGTACGAGGGGCATGGGGGCAGTGCCACTGCAGGGCTTGGCTGGCAGGGGACCCAGGCTGCCCCTGGTATTGGGGGCAAGCCCAGGGCTGGCTTGAGGCGTCTGGTCCATGCTGGGCTCCACCAGCTCCCCGGAGGAGGACAGGGAGGAGTTGGCAGAGAGGCTGGCAGAGGTCCCAGGGGTGCCAGGGGCGTGGACGGCAGGCTCTGAGGAGCTCTTGGGCACTACAGGTGGTTCCAGGAGCTCCCCACTGGGGGGCTGGCTGGAGCTCTCGGACGACAGGCTCTCCACGCTGAGGGCTGGTGACGGGGTAGCCGAGGGCGGCTCCGAGCGGGACAGGCGGGAGGCGTGGAGCGCTGCACAAACCAAACCGCGAATGGGTGCCGAGCGAGGGGGCAGAGACAGGCCCTCTGGCCTCGCCTGACACTTCACTCTTGACAGAACTGCAGGTGGCCCAGGAAACCCAAGTCCTCCACATCCAGGCAGGCAGGCAGGAGCCTCAAGGATAGCAAAGGTGGGACAGGACCAAGGTCACTGGCAGACTGATCACCCAAATTCATCCCGCACACTCTGGGCTCTGGCCTAGGCCTCGTGGTGCGGCTGTAGCCCTGGTTTCCTTATGGCTCCTTGCTTCCTCCTCTAGTGTGGCTGCAGCCTCCACTTCCCCTCCCATGTCTGATCTGACCCAAAGAAAGCCCAATTGAAAAGGCGAAAGCAGAGGTGGAGGGAAAACAACAGGGGAGGAGGAGGGGCAGCTCTACTGGTGGCCGGTTCCCGGCAGGCACTGCCCTGCGCCACTTTCAGCCTCATGGATGACAGACTTGGATGAAGCCATGCTTCGAAGTATCATCTGTGCTTTCCAGGTGAGACGACAAACTCGGAGAAAAGAGCTGGGATTGGACCCAGCTGTGTCTGACTCAGAGCTCATCCCATTGGCTGCCTCCCCCATCCACCCACCACCTCCAATCAGCTGACCCGCCACACTCAGCTGGAGGGTCCCAGGGCCCTAGTGGGGGCTGGGGGGACCTGGACCACTTGAGCACTGGCCTCCCGTCATCTCTAGCATGCTCTCGGCCCCACTGTCTGAGCGGCTCCCACTGAGGTCTCCGAGGCAGCTGGAGCCCTGCCGTGATGGAAGGGGACCGGGCATTGGGCCCAAGAAGACTGCAGGATGGTGAGAGGGAGGGCCGGGCGGAGGGAGGCACAGCACCCGGGACCTGGCCCACCACCTCCATCTTCCGGGGAGACTGAGGACGCACACAGGGGACGAACTGCTCAGTCACTAGCGCCCGCGTCACACAGGCGGGTCAGAGCCTCAGGCACCTGGAACTGGAGGACAGTGACTGGACCGGCAGGACTGGAGCTAACCCTGTCACGCGCCTTCCCCAAGCCTGACTCTGTGTTAATAAGCACATCAATGGATCACACATTTAATCCTCACAACCGTCCTGCAGGTGGGTTATGAAGGGTTGAGAGTAGAGTCGAGAGCCTGGGTTCAAATTCTGCCTCCACTGCTTAAGTGCTGGGAGGCAGTGAGCAAATCACTCATCCTCTCTGTGCCTCAGCTTCCTCACCTGCAAAATAGAGTACGCTATCTCCCCGCGGGTTTGCTCTGATTAACTGAGAGCACACACAGCACCTGACCTGGAGGGGGGTCCCGCGGCAGCCCCTGTCCTTCCTGGGCCCTGGGCTCACCCAACCCCAGGGTCCCAGCTCTCCGAGGAGCCCCCAGGAACAGCACTCACCGAGGGGGGACGTGCTGGGTGCTCGGGGGGCGGGGCGCTTCTTCGTCTTGGGGCTGCTCGTGGGGGTGATGCCGTACCAGGGGTGCAGCGACTTGGGTGTGGACTCCGGTGGGGTCGGGGCAGGGCCGGGGGCCGGGCTGGGTACAGCTGGGGCCTCCTCCTCCTCCTCAAACGGGTTGTACGGTTTGGGCTCCAGGCCCTGTGGGGCCGCTTCGTTCACACCCCCGTTCTCCACCTGCCTGCCTTCCTGGCCTGGCGGCGGCCCGGGGCTACTGCTCGGGGGCAGGGGGGCTGGCTTCTTCTTTGGCTCTGCCTGCACCAGTGTGATCCACGGCGGGTCTTTCCTGGGGGCTGGTGTCCTGGATGGAGGCCAAGAAGAGGTAGAACACATAAGCAGGCAAGGAGGGGCAGCGTCCTTCTCTCCCCAGACAGTGCGTCCCACAGCGGGTGGGTAAGACACAGCACCCTTCCCCTCTCCCACCCCAGCCCGGTGGGGCCCAGATGGAAAGCAGGGGGGTGCGTCTCTCTTCCCCTCCCTCTGCCTCTCTTTGTCTCTCTCCGCCCTCCGCCACCCCGCCCAGGGACCATACAGGGAAAGCACAGCTCTCAAAGAGCTGGAAATCGAGGTTCCTCGCCTGTGACGTGGGGTTCCAGGGGGTGGAGGCTCTGAGTCTGGCATACAGTGGAGTTTGCTGGGTCTTTCTATACTCTGCTACTGATTCTTAAAACTACTCTAGGAGGCCTAGGCCTCCCACACTCCAGAGGCGGCGGAGGCTTGGGGAGATTAAGGGACCCCCGAGGCAGCCCCAGGGAGAGGGGTCCCGCGGAGCCACACAGGAAGGGGGTGTGGCCACAGGCTCCCGCCCACCAGCGAGGAGCCCCGCCCCTTCTCGGGAGGGGGCGCTGGTGGGTCACATGGCCTTATTGCCAACCCAGACCCCTGGGGTACTCCCTTCCCCGCTCCCTCATCAGGGCCCTGAAAGCCCCCTAGGAGCCGGCATACCTCTCTGACAGCTTGGGGGTCCCTCTGGGCTTGGGGACGGGGGGTTCTTGCAGCTTCCCTAGGTGGGAAAGGAGAGTGAGACAGGCCTTCATGGGCGGCTGTGAGCCAGGTGGTGGAGTGGAGCAGTCAGGGAGCCAATCCCAGTGCCTGCCTCACCTAGGGGTGCCCTTCCATCCATCCCACCTGGCGGGTCGTGGACTCCAGGTGGCCATGGCAATCTCCCCTGCACCCTTGCACCTCCCCAGCCCAGTGCTCGGGGAGATTAGATAAAACACCAAAGGTAACAGGTAGAGAAGGTCAAAGCCACAAGGCCAGGACACCTGGAGACCACCACTCCCCCACCCCGTGCATTTCAGTTAAGGAGGGGGAACCCAAGTGCCCCTCTGACACTTCCCCAAAGTGGACAGGAAATACTGTCTCAACTCAGCGTGAGGTCACCTCCTCCTGAAAGCCTCCCCTGACTCCCCAGTGTCCTCTGGGAGTTCCACAGTAGCCTCTGCTTCTGTTTGTTTGTTTTTTCAGGAATGTTCTGACTCTTTATTCCTTCATGTAAATTTAGAATCAACTTGTCAATTTCCTCAAAAGAAAAAAGGCTACCAAAAACCTCAAACTTAAACAAAAGGGTAAAATATAACATGAAGTGGAACAGGATTACACAGTGCATGCTACTTTTTAAAATAAAGTATACAATCTGTGGCATTGAGTACATTCATCTTATACTTGTGTAATTCTTTTAATATTTTCTCATTAGAAAGTGAAGTCGCTCAGTCGTGTCTGACTCTTTGGGATCCCGTGGACTGTAGCCTACCACGCTCCTCTGTCCGTGGAATTTTCCAAGCAAGAGTACTGGAGCGGGTTGCCATTTCCTTCTCCAGAGGCTCTTCCCAACCCAGGGATCGAACCCGGGTCTCCCACATTGTAGGCAGACGCCTTACTGTCTGAGCCTATATTACCTGAAAATAATGTTTTATTTCTTTCTCATTCTTTTTCCTGGTGTTTTCCAGCTGACTAGGACCTCCAGTACAACGAGGGACAGAAGTACTGACATTGGGTACTGTCATCCCAAGTCCCAGACATTCCTTTCTCCTGTCTCCTGCTCCTTCCTAGTCCCTGGAACCTTCATCAGTGAAATCACTGCTATCCTGAATGCTCCCTTCACATTCTTGTGCTAACAACCTGACTGTCCCCTGAAGACACAGCTTTCCCTGCAACCTCTCAAGTCAGGCTGTGTTTTCTCCCATGACCCTAGTATCACTGAGAGTGGGGATGGGCCAGGGTCCTCCTTGCCACCCCCCATTGCTTCTTTCTGTGCATCCGCCTTTCTCCCCTCAAGTTTCAGCTCTGAATCTCCTGTCATTGGATCATACCACCACCCACTACCCCTTATTACTGCTGCGGTTTAGTCACTAAGTCATGTCCGACTCTGTGACACCATGGACTGTAGCCTGCCAGTCTCCTCTGCCCTGGGATTTCCCAGGCGGGAGTACTGGAGTAGGCTGCCATTTCCTTCGCCATGCTCCTCCGTCTTAATAGACTTCTTACATTCTACCGAAATCCTTGTGTCTGCCTGTCTCTCCCTTGAGACCAGCAGCGCCTCCGAGGCACAAATAGGTCTGAACACCCAGCTCAGGAACCAGTCTCCATGAGCGCGGAACAGAACAAGCCCCAGAGGGAGGAAACCAGGGAGCCTCCCTCCCCCAGGCCTCTCCCGATAAGAGCTGCCCAGCACGTCTCGGGTTGCAAAGAACCTTGTTCCTGTGAGCTCATGAAGGCCAGGGAGGTCACGTGGGAAGATTTTACGGGGTGGGGTGGTGAGGCAGAGATCTCTACTGCAGGGCAGGAGGTCAGGCTGGGGAGCACCCCAGGGTACACCTGACCAGGGACACAGCTTCCCCCGCCCCCTAGCCCCTGAGCAGTCCCTGCCAGACACCCAGATGTAGACAAACACGCAGGCTGGGCGTGGGGGGAGGTCACCTGAGTGTGGACACAGAGTCCCAGACATATCCCATCCCCCCAGCACGGAGAACAGAGCGTGCACAGAGGGGCCTCGGTAACAGCTTGCTGCATGAATTAATAACCTCAGTGCCACAGCCGTCCCCAGCATATCCACCACACACAGGCACAGACAGCGTGCCCCACGGATACTCCCCGGCACAGGTACGTTTAAACGCAAGGCACACCCCAGGGAGCCCCCAGCCCCAACAGGACGCCCGCTCACCGTTCACCAGGACGCTGCCGCCTCCCTGCTCCAAGTTCTCCTGCTGCAGACTGGACCGGGGCCGGGGCGTGGGGGGTGTCGGGGCTGTGCTCTCGGAGGCCTTCCTGGGGGCGGGTGTGGGGCGGCTGGCCGGGGAGCTGGCCAGCTCCTGTGGTCTTCCGGGAACCCGGGGCTTGGCGGGGACCTGGGGTCGGCCCTCGGGGCTGGCCTTGGGCACGTCCGCCTCGGCCCCTGCAGTCGCCTTCAGGCTGGGGCTGCCCCCCTCCACCTCCTTGGCTTCTTCTGTAGGTTGCTGCGGCTTTGGCTGTGGTGGAGTTCCAGGCCGGGCCCCTGACCGCCCACTGGCGCCCAGTCTGGCACAGTGCTCTGCACATACGAAGGTGCCCTCCTCTGGCCCATTCCTGTAAGCTCCGGGGAGCAGGGTGCTGGAACACCGCCGACACCTGCCAGGCAGAAGAGGGGTGGGCTCGGGGGGGTCAACTTAGCCAGCCCAGGGTGCTGGCTACCCCTTCTCCAGCAGCCAAAGCTGTACCATCCCCTCCTCCTGGCTGCCAGCCCAGACCCTGTCTCAATACACATAACTTGCCAGCGGAAAAGGAAAATGGTAACTGTCAGAATCATAGTAGAACAATAAAACCACGTGAAAGCAACACCATAAGTTGTGAAACATGCCTTCAGTTTCTGCTGCAAGAGGAAGCAAAGGTTCCCCCCTCAAGGTTCCATCCAGTATGCAAGTCACCACTCATTACTGGCTCAAAAAATCAACTTAGTGGTTTGCAACCAAGCAATTTGTTTTTTCTATGAAATAGGATAAAGTACAATGTATCAGAGTGTATCACACTTCTTTTATGAACCTAATTCCGGGAGTGTATCTATTTACGCAAATTTGATTTCATGGATGTACCTACAACTGGTCACGGTGTCAAACGTGCCTTACTGGTGGTTACCATAAAAAGATTTTAAAACACTGTCCTGACAGCCAGACATGACAACGTCAATGCAGTGGTTCCTTTTCTCCAAGATTTTGGCCCTCATGACACCTCAGTTCTGCAATCAGGTGCCTGGGTTTCAGGTCCAGCCACTACACCTGAATGTGCATGCATGTGCGCATGCACGCGCACAGACACACACATACCCCCATAGCTGAATACTTCCTATAACTCCCATTCACTGGTTTTCATTGACTATTCAGTTTTCTTCACTGATTTTTTTTTTTATAACATGTAAAACGTTTCCATACATTCTCTAAGCTATTTATATATTCCCTGCCTCTTACTCAAGTTTCTTTAAACGGTCACTTCCCCGGGGAACCACATATTCAAAGCAAGTTGTTACTATAATTTTTTTAACTGCTTTCTTTTTAGAAAACACAAATGCAAAATAAAAAGGTAGAAAAATCTAAAAGTAAAATAAAAATTTTAAAAGTGCTTTCTTTTCTCCAGGCTTTTAAAGCACATCCTGTACCTTGATCATCATCAGGTACTTAGTCTCGAAGAGCTCTGGCCCCGTTTCTGTCTCTATTTCTGGGACTGAGCCAATAATGTTCTCCCCTCGCTAGTTCGTTTGTTCCTCAGTAAAACGGGGATAAGAAAGATGCTCCAACACAAAGAGCCTCCCAAGGGGCCTGGCACCCCTTGGTGCTGAATCTAGGGGCGCTCCCCCACCCACTCACCGGAAGCAGTGTCGGTGGTACAGCTTGCCGTCAGCCAGGTAACGCTGCACCAGGTGCACATGCTGCTGGCAGGCGGCACACGTGCTGCTGGGGGTCCGGTGGGAGCCCTGCTTCGACAGGCTGCCCGGGGAGCACTCCTCACCCTGCAGGGAACGGGGTGGGGTCAGGGTCACCAGCCCTTTGGTTCAAGAACATTCCCCGTTTCCCTGCTCTCTTGTGGCCGTCCCCCAAGCGTGCACAGTGCTAACCGCTCCATCGGAGCCCTGGAGGGGCAGAGGATGAGAGACTCACTGAGGAAGACCCCTGAGGAAGCCCAAAAAGGGAAAGACTTGCTCAAGCTCACTGAGTCAGGATGGAAACAAAAAAATCCTGGTTTCCAGTTTCTGGGGCTCTCTCTGCAAGAAGGCACCTTCTGGCTGTATAAGCCTTTCTCCAATCCCTGCAGGTGAAACTTCCCTGACAGGTGACTGTCCTCCAAGGCCCACCTCGACTGCTTTCTGTCTCCCCAACCAGAGCCAAGTAGATTTAAGTCTGTTTCTCAGCTTCTAAGCACCGTGACCTTGAGCAAGCTGCTTCCATCCCTGGGCCCTGGGTCTACACCTGCCGAATGGAATTCTATGACCCTCCAGTCTCAGCCCCACGCATGCTCACTGGGCACCCACCCTGGGCCAGGCTCTCTGCCCCTCAGGAGCTCCTCCGGCAAGGAGCAGATGGGAGCAGGTGGGGAAAGCCCTCTGCATACTGGGAAGCGCTGTCCAGATGTGAAAGGCTGGGGTCACACCATGAGATCTTGGAACTGACAGTGTGATCCCCACTTCCCAGCTTAGAGATCATGGACAAGTGGCCAAACCTCTCGGGGCTTCAGTTTCCTTCTCAGTACATCAGGACACATAATACCCGCCTACCAGCGTCATTGAAAGGAGTAAGCGGAATCAGGTTAGGAGGTTGACAGTTCGGTCTCAGGAGAATCAAGGGGAGAATCTGCTGTATTGTATGTGTGAGTCTTGCCAGTCCCATGATGGAGGGTCAGTGCCCTGGATGCTCTATGCCTCTCCTGGGTCGGCCGTCCCCTACCCCTGCCCCCTGCCCTGGCCAATGAACCTCTACTTCCAAAGCCAGAGGGAAAGGGACTGAGAACACCCGCTGAAGCCGGCAGTGGCAGCTGTCCCCTCACCTCACCCACCCCCGACTCCCCCAGAAACTGCCTACCTGAGCCCTGTCTCCCGGGTCCACGGGAGTAGATGCTTCGGATGGTGGGGAAGACAGTGCCAGGCCCTTTCTGGGTGATGAGACACCGGCTGCTGAGAGACCAGAAAGGGGCCCTGAGGCAGCTGGAGACTCTGGAGGCCCAACCTGGCCTGAGCTTTGGGCTCCCCAGGGTGAACCACCCGAGGCAGTGGGACCAGGCTCCCACTTCACACAGACACAGGGGATGCCTCCACTGCCAAGCTAAGTGCGGAGGGCAAGGTACCCAACCACGCCAGGCCTCCAGAGAGTGGGATGGTGAGTCCCACCACCCAGAGCAGTGTGAAGAGCAAGGCACAAGGACAATCACAGGACCAGCGGCGCCCAGTACATGAAAGGGCGGGTGGCTTCCTTCCCACCAGGCTTAGTGGATGAAGGAAAGGAAAGGAGAGGAACCACATGATGCCAGCCCGAAGCTTCAGGAAGACGGGTCGGCTCCCTGGGGCTCCTGAGGAGCTGTCCTGCCCGTGCCCTGGTGGCCAGTTGCAGCCCTGAACCCTGCCTGCGTGCCCTCCAACCAGAGGAAACCCAGCCCTTACCCCACCCGCCTCCTCCAAGGCTGCCCGGCCATTACTTCAGCAAACCTCCACTGAGCACCGACTCTGTACCTAGGGATTAAAATAACCCCCCGCCTCAAATTCAGAGAACTGTATACAAAAAGAAAAAAAGTCAATGCTGCTATATGATAATTCTTAAAAATAAAACCCAGGGAATTTCCTGGTGGTCCCGTGGTTAGGACTCTGCGCTTCCACTGCACAGGGCACAAAATCCATCCCTGGTTGGGGAAATAAGATCCCACAAGCTGTCAACTAAAAACAAAGTCCAAATTCCTTACTGGGGTCACAATCCATTAACAGACCCTGAAATCAACTGAGTGGACTGCAACCAGCATATTGTAAAGATAAATTAGAAGAAAATATCCGCAGGCATCTCGTATTGTAAGGGGAGAATCATTTCCTGAAACTTGTTTCAGTGACATATGTGTACATGAACATGGATTATAATGGGAAACACATTTCTCACCATGAGTCATGGTCAAAAATTTGGGGCCCACTCTATTCCCCACTGTACCCCCTACTGTCCTCACCTCCTCCTTCCCCCTCACTCCCCTGGAGCACACAGGCCCCTTGCTGCTCCCTTGCCCAGAATATTCCTCTCCAGATCTTCACACAGCCTCCTTCTCCTCCTTATTCAAGGCTTAACTCAACTGTCACCTCCTCAGAGAGGCCCTCCCTGACTACTCACCAAAAATAGCCACTTCCTCCTCTCATTGCTTTTTATACCATTACCTTATTTTGTTTCCTTATCCGGCTCATCTGAAATTACATTCACTACTTTGTTCTCTCTCTCCCTCGCCCATCCTTTAGACTGCAAGCTCTGAGTCTGTGTCATTCTCAGCTCTCTCCCTATCACCTTGCACGGGGCCTGGCACACAGTAGAAGTGAAAGAAATATTTATTAAATGAATGAATAAGTGCCAGGTGCTGGAGTCAGGCAGCTGTGGACTCAACAGAGATGGTCTACAGGGGAAAGAAGAGTAATCGAGATACTGTGACCAGAGTCTTATACGTTCACCCTGGGGAATGGAGCTACAAGAGCACCTGGAGTACATCAGGTCGGGCTGCTTGGAGGAGGCAACATGTGGAGATGAGAGGATGAGTAGGAAAGAATGTGCCAGGGCATGGGAGGTGGGGAACAGGGACTAGAGGATCACCAAGAGGAAAGACTTTAGCAGTAAAGCAATGTGATCTATTCAGAGAATAAGAAACTCAGTATGACTACAACCCGGCGCAGTGAGTGGCCTAAGCTAACTGGGGAGAGGCCCTCAGGAGCCCAGCTAAGAAACTGGGCTTCATCCTGATGACACCACCCTTGTCACCCTGGGGTGGGGTGGCGGTGGGTACCCCTCCTCTGATTCCCTCAGCCACTGGGCTTCCTTCCCTCACACACTGGTTCCAGATTCCACGGCGGCTCCTGGAGGTCAGGGGTCAGCTGATGTGCCCAAGGTCACCAGCCCCCACAGAGCTCCGGCATGAGATGAACAGGCAGCATGGCACGGTGGTATCTCAGCCACGGCCAGCTTCCCAAGGTACCCAGTGCAGAGACAGTCAAGCCTGGGCAAAATTACCCTTGAAGTCCCTCCCCTGGCCCAGAGAGTACAGAACACGACCATCTGGGGGAGGCTAAATGCCAGCTTCGCCTCCAGGGCTGGAACACCTCTCTGCGCCTCCTCTGGTTGAGCAGCAGGTGGGATAAAAATGGTCTGCATTTAGGGGCCAAGTTGCATGGAAAGCACAAGCTGTGCCTTTAGTAACGAGAAATCCCCGCAGGCCCACAGGGTGCTCTTGCCCAGGCACAGCACGGGGAGCTGGGTCACCTGAGTGACCGCACCCCCAGGATGCCTGCTGAGGACCCGGGAACAAAGTGGGCACCATCAAAATAGTATTACCAAGGGTCCTCCCCACCTGCCCACCTGCCCCACAGAGTCCCAGGAGGTGGCCCTTCAGAGAAAAGCTTAGTAGAGGGAGACTGGGGTTCCGCCACCAGGAACACTCCAGAAGAAAAGACTGAACTGTGATTCTAGGTGAGCAAGCTAAACTCTAACCAGTGGATAAAAATAATAATAATAATAGTAACCTTGGGTCCTAAAGAAGGGCCAGACACAGGTTCAAGCTTCCTCGCTTACTCCCAACAACCCTGTGAGGTGGGCACTATTCTTTTCTTTTTTTTTAATTTATTATTTACTTATTTGTCTGTGCTAGGTCCCAGGTGGCTCAGTGGGTAAGGAATCTACCTGCAATGCAGGAGACATGAGTTTTATCCCTGGATCAGGAAGAACCCCTGGAGGAGGAAATGGCAACCCAATCCAATATTCTTATCTGGAGGATTCCATGGACAGAGGAGCCTGGTAGGCTACAGTCCATGGGGTCGAAAAGAACTGGATATGACTAAAGCGACTGAGCACACACACATGGATCTTAGCTGTGGTACGCGGGATCTTTAGTTGGTGACATGCAAACTCTTAGTTGTGGGATCTAGTTTCCTGCCCAGGGATTGAACACAGGCCCCCCGCATTGGGAGTGTAGAGTCGTAGCCGCTGAAGGGAAGTCCCCTGGGCGCTATTCTGTCCTCACTGCAAAGGGCACCCTAAGCTGAAAGGTGACCCTGTGACCCATGGTCACCCAGACAGGAAAAGGCACCATGCTGCCTCTCATCAAAGACTCAGCAGTTGAGAAATACTTCCATTTTGATCTCTAGTCAAATACACATAATGTTATTTGTTCAATTATAATATTAATCCCTAGCATTACGGGAAAGATGGGGAGTAAGAGAGTATTTTAATTTTTAAATTGTTACGCTTTTTTCTATGTTCTAAATTTTCTACAGTAAGCAGGTGTTACTCCAAACAAACAAACAAAAAAAACCCCTGACTTCTTTTTTTTAAGAGATGGGATAAGATTGTCCACATGGAGAGCAGAGGCAGGAGGAAGGAATGACATGGCAGGGCCCACAGGACCCGTGACAGCCGTGACGCCGCACAGGAGTCAGGACACCGGGATTCGGTTTTCCGGCTGTGTGGCCTTGAGTTCCTTGCTTCCCCTCTCTGAGCCCATGTCCTCTCGAGAGAAGGTTAGGGTCTAGGAGAGTCTTGCATGGGGACTCTCTAGGCAGAAGGTTCAGTAGCCAGCTGACTCAAGGCAGAGAAACACCCATGTATCCCTCACCCCTATTCCCTTACCCCACCTCCCACAATCCCCCAGCTTCTCAGGTCTCAGGCCTTGAAGGTCACTGCTGGGAAACATGAAGCCAAATAGCCCCACAGGATCACTGCCTGGCTGGAGAGAAAAAAACCCAGGGAAGTGTCTGTAAACAGGAAGTGAGTGTAGGAGCCAGAGAGGTGAACTCCCAGACAGCGGATAAACTCACCCTGCCGTTGTCTCTTCTGACACTATAGTTTTGTTTTGTTTTTTACTTTTTTGCTAAGACCACATGGCTTGCAGGATCTTAATTCCCTGACCCGGGATCGAACCTAAGCCTCCAGCAGTGGAAACTTGGGGTCCTAACCACTGGCCCGCCAGGGAAGTCCCTCTTCTGCCATTATCTTGCCCAGTGACTAGTTCACGTGTTTGTGGTCTGTCTCCCCCACCAGACTGAGTTCCTTGAGGGCAGTGACCTTCACAGCTGCAATCCCCGGGGTCCCAGCCCAGTGTTATTTTGCTCATAAATATTTCAGTGAGTGGATGAATGATGTGGTGAATGAATGATGGGCTGCCTGCCTGCACCCTGTCTGCAGCTCAGAAAACAGGTGACACACCCCCTGCGCCCCGCCCCTAAGGATGGCACCCTCTCACCTGGGCCGGAGCCGGCAAAGTGGTTGTAATACTGAGACACGTAGGTCATGATGCTGAGGCAATCGGGGACACTCATGGAGACCATGTCATTGGGATCCAGGAGGGCAGGGATGCCCAGCTCCTTCTCGGCCACTTCAAAGGCCTGGGGTGGGGGCAGATGTCAGGGTGGGGGAAGGTTTGGGGTGGGGGTGGGGGGAAAAGGGGTGGGGATGGGGGCAGGTGTAGGGGAGGGAGAAGGTTGGGCAGGGTGGGGCACAGAAGTAGCCACAGCAGGAAGAGGAAGAGAAGGCAGTGTCAGGGGGTGCCACGCTGCATAGGCCCAGCCTAATTCTGCGGGATGAGGGGGCCAGGGCAGGGGTGACTGGGCTCCCTGAAGCTCTGGCCCCACACTGTGACCTGGAGGTGGGAAAGGGCTGGTTTTCCAGGCACAAGCCGGCCAGAGGGGAGCAGGGGGTGGGGAGAGGAGCAGTCAGGGCCCCAGGGCAGGACAGCTGCTCCAGAAGCCCCTCCATCGGTTCCTGTCCTGCAAGACCCCTGCTCTCCCATACACACACCCCCCACCCACAGCACACAGCCTCATCGTGGGCTCCCATCTGTCTGGGGGACTCACCAAACGGTTATTCTCGAAGACATTGTCCTTGGAAAGTGAATCAAAATCTCTGCAAGAGGCAAGGGGTGGGGGGAGAGGGGAGCATTGAGCAGTGGGCAGGGCCATGGGTGTAGAGTAACCAGTGGAGATGATCTTATCCCAACCAGCCTGGGCCTCAGCAGGGTTCAGGGAGGCATCCGTGGGCTGTCAAGGAGGAAACTGAGGTAGCAAGCACAGGCTAAAAGAGTTGGGGTGGCCAGGTGGGAGAGGCTAAGAGCTCATTGTCCCAGGAGGCCTCCAAGTAGAGGCTGGAAACCCACGCAGAAGGGGCGGGGCTGAAAAAGTCCCAGCTTCAAGTTTATCCCCCAAGAAGGCATGTCCTGACTCAGTGGCAAACGTAAAATCTAAGACCAAGTCCAAGGCTGGTCACGAGAGGCACATCCATGGATTGCTGACCTCACTCTGGGCACTGGGCTGAGCTCCCACCTTCAATTTATTTTCAGCTCTACTTGGCAGGTATTCGCCCCACTTTACAGATGGGGATACTGAGGTCCAGCGAGAGGAAGCCACTGTGAGAAACTGCATTTCTCGTCCTTCCACTGCAGGTCACAAACCTGGAGAAGCCACCCCAGCTTCCGAATCCCTAACCCAGCCCGAAGAGGAATGTTGTTTTAATGGAGCCAGGAATAGAACAAGTCTGAACCAGCCTGGAAATGGTACATTCTCCAGAGATGCTGGCACTAAACGGCTGGCTGACCCAGCTGGGCCACTCCTGGGGGCACCATCCTTAGGAGAGCAAAGAAGGGTGTCCTAATTTCTTAGCTGGGACAGGTGAGAAGTGGCAGGGTCTGCCAGGGGACCCTGGCTGTGGGTGTAACCCCTCCCCACCTGCCTGCTCCAGCTGCTGGAGCGGCTGAAACCAGCGGAGGAGGCCCAGCCTGCTTGCTCAGCAGCCTCCTGGGTCTTGTCCTTCTATGGCTGAAAACCGCAGCCTGACTGCTTGAGAGATGTGGGCCCAGAGGCCGCAGCAGACCAGCGCGGCCTCCCAAGTCTGGGTCCCAGGCCCTGCTCTTCCAGGCCAGGCCTTGTGACCTGGGGTGAGTCAACAGTCCTTGCGGCCTTTGTGTTCCCATCTGCAAATTGGGGGAAGCTTCATACACCTCCCAGGTTGGTGGGGAGGACCAAGCTAGGTAGAGGCAGGCCTTGCAGACACAAGAGAGCCCTCCTCCTCCTGCTCACCTGCAGGCAGAGTCCAAGGTGCTGTGAACCCTGGGCCAAGACAGGAGGGGGTCGCTTGCAAACTGTCCCAAGGCCCCAGGGTCAGGTAGACTGGGGAGGTGGAGGGGGCCGTGTATGCACTTCAGCTCCGTTTCCCACCTCTGGCCAGGCTGCTTCCTCCTCCCCTCAACTGGGTCCCTAATTCCTCCCCCTGCTCTGCCACTGACTCAGAGTGTGACCCTGAGCAAGCTACACACAACCTCTCTAAACCTTGGGGTGAGGGTTAGGGTTAGGATTGTGACACCACCCCAGCTCCCAACAAAAGCCTGTTCTGAGACCAAATGAGACAAAAGCAACTTGTCTGGGCCCTGGACTGCAGTCTCCCCAGCAGTGTTCCTACAAGGCTGGGGTCACATTTTTGTTCACCCTGTGCACCCAACACCCTCCACACTGTCTGGAACTTAGTAGGCGCTCCATAAATGTCTACTGAATGCATATATACTGGGAACAGTGTGAAAACTGTAAAGGTCCCCACAATGCTACAATTTTTCCTCTGCTTCTTCTCCCTCCCCCACGTTGGTCCCTAATCAGCGCCTAGGGTTGGGAAGTCTATTTTCTGAGAATTTTCAAAGGCCTGGGAAGTTCTATTTGACCATGGGGGAGATGAGGAGCACAAAAATGAAACCCACATGGTCCTTTAAGCCTGCAAGGGAGCTTAAAGATACCTGAATTGGGAAAGGGGGAATGGGCCAGCCCCCTCGACCACCCCCAGTAGAGGCCTCAGCCCACCGCTCCAGCAGCCTGAACCACTTAAGAAGATAGTGCTTGCCCTCACCCCTACCCCAGCCCTATTCTCACGGAGATCTTCCCCTACCCATCACTGAGGTCCTCTCTATGCCTCACGTAGGACCTGGGCCTCAAGTTTTTATCCTGTGCAATGGCTGGCAGCCCAGATGCTGGCCAGCCTTGCACATGAATGATCGAACCTGATTCCAGATCTCTTCTCAAGAGGGAAGCCCCCCTCTGCTCCACACCAACGCCACGTCCCTCCCTGTGGCCACAGCCACCCTCCTTGGCCTGCAGGAAGCCCTAAGCACTCTGGCCCAGCCACATGTCCTGGTTTTCCCCGCCCTGTGCTATGGGCTCCAACAGTGCTGCCTGTATCTCTGCTCACGATATCCTCTCTGCCTGGAAGGCCCTTCCCTGACCCGGGTCCTGTGATCTCCTTGAAGATGAGGTGACCAGGCCGCACCATCCTGGCCCTCTGACACAGCACTTCCCACGTGGAGTTCTCAGCACTGCTTGCTTATACATCTATCACCCCCACAGGCCATAGGAGACTGTGTAGGGTTTGTCTCTTGGTTGATTGGAAGCTATTTCCATTACCAGGTTCAGTGCCCAGCACAGAGTATAACTCTGCAGACACTTTTGGGAATAAATGAAGGAATAAGACACTTGCATCATTCCTTCCTGCCTAATAACACTACTTACAATCACTAATGTTAAGTGATTGTTCATCATCTTATTTAATCCTCGCAACAATCCTGGGAGGTTAGATCTTATTGTCAAACCCACTTTACAGGTGAGGAAACTGATGTCCAATGGGATCTACCAGTTTTCCCCACCTAGGACACGGAGGAGCTGACCGCAAACCAAGCAGCCTGCATTTTGTGGCTGGCAGGCTCAGGTCCATGATGTAGCTTAGCCTGACACTTGAGTCCTTTCACACACTGGCCCTGCCTCACCACCTGCCCTCCAGCCAAAAGAGAAGACCCCTGCAGGCCTGCACTCCAATTTGTGGGCCCAGTCTGGGTGCCCTTCTTCTCCATCCTTCAAGCCCTGGCTCCTAAGCCCCTTTACCCCATGTCACTTGCTCCATGGCAGACAGTGGCCCACCTCCATCTCCACCCCATCTTGTTCACTTCTGCACCCATACCCTCTCCTCCAGGGCCCACCCCAGGGCCTGACCACCACCCACAGACACCGTACCACATGGTACAGAATAAACTAAGTGCATCTACACTATCGAATCCTTGAGGTCATCCTTCCCTTCCTTCTCTCCTTCATCAAAGCCTCCCAAGTGCTGTCTTTGGGGAGCACAGGTCTGAAGGTGGACAGACACACAAAAGGTTCTAGACCCCGCCAGGAAAGCCCCATCCGAGGGGCTGTAAGCAAGACAGGCAAGGACCATGACTCTTGTCCCCAATTTGCAGATGAGACCAGAAGTACAAGGAACAGCAGGTGCCAGATAAGCATGTAGTGTTCTATGAATGAATGAATGGAAGAGGTTCTAGGGCCCCAAAGGGAGCTGAAACCCCAAGTCAACTGCCCTGGGGGGTCTGGATAAAATCTCCCATGGAGCCTGGGAACTGGGCAGCCGGGAGCAAGAAGGGGCGATTTCACACCCTGAAGCAGCCATTTAGGGCTGTAGGTCCAACCTTAGGAGACTTTATTCAGCCTCCCTGCCCCACGGAGGCCACCAGGTTCATGGGGCACACACCTGGGAGGCAGGGCTGTGTCCTACTGGGGGGAGGGGTGTTCCATCCATTCATCTGACCTCTGCTAAGGTAGGGACTCCTCTGTGCCAGGCACTGTGCTACTGCCCTGGAGAAGAGATGGCCCAGGGGAACCAAAGCAAGTGGGCCCCACAAAGAGAACGGCAACCTCAATGCCGAACGGGTAGTGGGCTGCTCAGAGCTCCTGTTTGAGTTTAGTCTAAGAAAGGCCCAGGGTCCCGGAGGAGGGTGCGGGTGCCTTCTCAAAGAGTCAAAGCCTCAGGGGCTTCGGCGTCCCGTTGGCGGAAATCAGTACCCTGTGGGCGGGGCCAGGCCCCCGGTAGAGGGACCAGCACGCGGGGCGGGTTTAGTGTTCCAGTGGGCGGGTCAGGGGCCAAGTGGGGGAGGGGTGTCCTGGATCCGAGGGTCTCAGCGCCCCGCGAGGCGCGGGGGGCCCGCCGAAGGGTGGGCGTCTCGGCCTCTGGGGGCGGCGTCTGCCACCGCCCCGGCTCCGCGTCACTGAGGGGGGCGGGGGGTCCCCAGCAACGAGCCCGCGCCGCCCTGCGCCCCGGCCGCCCGCCCTCCCGGCACTCACAGCAGGTCGGGCCGGTGCCGGTGCAGGATGGCGCAGAAGGCCAGGCCGTCCCGGAAGGAGCTGCTAAGGTCGCGGATGTCCACGCCGCGGTAGCCCTCGCACTGGCGGCGGCACCAGGCCAGCAGCGCGCCCCGCGGCCCCGCCATGAGCCGCGCGGGGCTCGGGCCCGGGGACTTCACCCGCAGGCTCGGCTCGGGCCGGTTTCCGGCTGCGGCTGCGGCTCGGCTCTGCCCCGGCGCCGCTAGGAGCTCGGGGCGCGACCCGCGGGCGGCGGGCACTAAGGCGGGGAGGAGGCGGGGCCGCGGCCTGGGAGTCCTCGCTCGGGCTCCCGGCGCAGGGTCCTGGCTCGGCTGCCAGCTGCCCGCCCGGACCTGCCCGAGCAGCCGCCGCCCGCGTGGCCCGGCCCGGCCGGCCGCCGCCGCCTACTCACAGCCGTTCGCTCCCCTCGCTGTGGGCCGGCCCCGGGCGTCCCGCTGATCTCGGTCCCCGCCCGCCAGCCGCCGCCGCCCGGGAGCGGGGAGGGGGCGGTGGCCTGGCGCCCCACCCAGCGGCGGCTCCGCCCTCCAGACGCGGACCCCCCCCCCCCCACATACACACACACACGGGCCAGCACCCCGCCGCCCCTCTCCTTGGCGATCCCGGTCACCCACCCCCTCACCGTAGATCCCTCCCCCCCGCGCTTAAAGAGCTCTGAGATGGCCCCTGAACCCCTCACCCACCGCAAACTAGCCCCTCCCCACAATGACTTCTTCCACCTCCACCACGCTGCCCACTGGGAACTCTCTTCTTCCCATCCTGAGTGCTTCCCACTCTTTGGCCTAAGAACCTACAAATCTCTCACATTCCCCTAGCCTGAATTTGGGGGAAGGCATTCCCCCCACCTCGAGTCAATCAGGCAGTTCCCCTGCAGACCCCAAAGCACCCCCAGATGACCACCAGCCTCGTTCACTGTGTCCCACCACTCCAAAGCACCCTTGACTTCGGGGTAGTTCTACCACCTCCCCCTCCTCCCCAGAGCCTGAGCGGAAGACTCCATCCCCCACCCCACCCCCATCACTGCTGTCAATCCAGTTGTCTACTCAGTGATGATGTACTGAGCCTCACAATGGGTCCTGCAGTTTTCCTCGCCCCCTGTGTAGGCTCAGGGGTCTCACCCGTCCCCAGTGGGGCATCCTGATTGGAGTGGGGGAGGTTTGGGGTCCCATGGGAAGGACCTATGGGAAGCAGGCCCTTGTCTGGTGGGGCCTTGGGTGTCTGGCCTTGAAACCTCCGAAGCCTCATTCTCCTGCTCCCCCATCAAGACCTGGGTCCACCCTCCCCAGAAGCCTCTAATGACCTCCAGGAGAGATGAATCAGCTTCCACTAGGCTGCCGTGGCGGTGACATCACTGAAGCCGGGATGAGTCTGTCACACCGCTCCCCAAAGGAAGAAGCAAGGGCCCTAGTCATCACTGTCAGTCATCGGCCCTCGGAAGAATGGAGAGAACAGGGGCTTGGGAGTCATATCCACTCAGGCTTGAATCCTGGCTTTCCCTGCTCGCTCAGCCATGTGATTTTGTGTCTCCATGAACCTTAGCTTCCACATCTTAAAAAATGGGGGTAATTCCTGCTTTACACAGTGGCCGAGAGGAGTAAGAGGTGCTTCACCATTAGTCATCACTCATAAATTCTAGCTTGATACCTGGTGCCTGATAACAATAGGGTAAAATGGATTGAAACGTTTGTCCAGCTGTCCCCTGGACCTTTTTGAGTAAACTATGGAGGAGAGAGGCTGATTTGGGGAATCCCACCTCCTCAAAGTTTCACTGAGTTCCAGCCCAGAATACAATTATGACTCAGGGTGGGGCACCCCAGGTTACCCACCTAGGGGAACCTCACACCCTGGATCTGTAACAAGACTGGAAGGCCACCATCTTGGCCCAGAACACAGATTCTCAGGTTACCTAAGAAAGGGCCACCGTGAGCCAGGCTGCCTGGCCAGCCCTCTTGACCCCTCACCACCCCTTCATTGCCACCTCTGGCCCTGTCACTGTGGGAAAGCAACTCTACGAAAGGAGGGTTCCAGGTGTTCTCACTAAATCAGAGGCTTGGGCTCAGGACTCTGATACCAGCACCCACCTTGGCCTTCAAAGACCACCAATATTCTTCATTAAAATCCAGAAGGCATTATATCCTGTCCTCACCAGCCTAAAGGGCTCCCTTCAGGTCCCTGAAGACAGCTTCAAATCTAACCTTGATCCTATTGCCATGATAATAGCTCACCCAGCCCAGACTCTGGGTCCAAATCAGCCTTTGTAGGGTTTATTAACTCATTATCTGAGTCAGCTCACCATGATAGGAAGTAAGGGCCTGCATGACCACAGCCCAGACAACTCACCCCTCTGAACCCTAATTTCTTACCCTATAAAATTGACATAATAATCTTTACCTTGCCTGCATCCCAGGGTTGTGGGTAATCAGGTGAGATAATGAATGTAGAAATGCTGTGCAGACTGTCAATCCAGGATTCAGGTGAGAGGTGGGACTGTGCTTACAGGTGAGGTCAGAAGCCACAGACAGCTACACAAGTCAGGTCATGGGCCCAAATCATGCCACAATTTCAGGATTAAGACTGAGGCATTTGGGCCCTTCATCTGGTGTATTTATTTTTTTAACTGTCACTTAAGTAAATACATTCTCCTTATCAAAAATTTAAAAAAAAAATAAAGCTAGAGTTCCTATTTGACTGACTCCCTCAACCCCAGTCCCCTCCTATGATGTAGTCATGGTTGTCAGTTTGAAGCCAAGCCTTCCAGACTCTGTGCATGCTTTTATATTGGATGGATCCTACAGATTTTGACTAAGCACCTGCTCCTTGACTGGGGAGCTCAAGGGGAGATGGGGTGTGAACAAAACAGGATCCTTGCCTTCATGGAACTAATGTTCTAGTGGGGCGGGCAGGCAGGCAGGGAACAAGTAAGTCAGCGAAGATCATTTCAGATGGTGAAAGGGGCTTGGAAGAAAATAAAGCAAGACGGTGTGACTGAGAACCATGGTAACAGTCCGGGCAGCCAGGCAAGTCCTCCTTGTGGTGGGGACATTTGAGCTGAGTGATATCCATCCCCCAAGAAAGCAAGTCAAATGCAAGCCAGTGAGCGATGTCACTGCAGGTAGTTTGAATTCTTCTAAAAATTCCCAGTAACAGTGCCAGGCAGGATCTAGGCAGGAAAGCGTTGACTGGTGTGATGAGTGAGACAGACTAGTGAATACTCTTTGTCCAGCATAAGGGGCAAGGAAAAAGGAACCCCTAAGAAAGAACAGTCTAAAAGAGGACCTTGACTAGTCTGGGAAAGGGTGCAATGCTTTTTACTTCCCATTCTTCCTTCCAGCCTACTTTGCAGGAGGGCTGTGAAGGAGGGAGTATAAAAGAAGGATGAAAAAGAAAAAAGCCCAAGGGGTTGGGAGCTAATGTAGAATGATCACTGATGGGAATGGCTGAGTGAGTGCATGATCAGGACCTATAGATTACATTTTAAAATATATATATTTATTTCATGTATTTGTTTATTTGGCTGCTCCAAGTCTTAGTTGTGGCACTCAGGATCTTCCCGGTGGCATGCAGGTGCTTTAATTGTGGCAGGTGAACTCTTGGTTGCGGCATGTGGGATCTAATTCCCTGACAAGGGATCAAACTCAGCCCCCCTGCATTGGGAACTCGGAATCTTAGCTACCAGGTTCACCAGGGAAGTGCCCCCAGCTTACATTTATTTTCACATGCAAATCTCAAGGTAAATTTCAGAGAGATGAAGGGGAGAGAAACGGCCATAGATGGGACCTGGAGCGGCTGAGGGGAAAAGAATAATATCATTGCCTCTGGGGAACCTCTTGTGCTGTGTGCTGAGTCACTCAGTCGTGTCCGACTCTTTGTGACCCCATGGACTTTAGCCCACCAGCCTCCTCTTGTCCACCAGGATTCTCCAGGCAAGAATACTGGAATGGGTTGCCATGCCCTCCTCCAGGGGATCTTCCCAACCCAGGGATCGAATCCAGGTCTCCGGCATTGGAGGCAGATTCTTTACCGACTGAGCCACCAGGAAAGCCCATATAATATATATATATCATATATGTTTATGTATATAAACATTTACATGTTCTGATACATGGAATTTTAAAACATCAAGAAGAAAGGAAAAAAATCTAACCAAATGCTGTCAGTGATTCATTTCTGAGAGTGAGATAGGGGAGTGGTAGACTCACTTTTTACACATCATTATGGTTTGAATTTGTAACAACAGCAGGCATAACTTTAAAATGACAGCTTAGAGAGATAATTCGCATACCATAAAATTTACTCTTGTGAACTGTACAATTCAGCGAGTTTAAGTATATTCACAGAGTTGTGCAACCATTATCATTATTTTATTTAGAATATTTTCATCACCCCAAAACTCTGTACCCATTTAGTACTGATTCCCAATGCCCTTTCCCCAACCCCCCTGCCCAGCCCCTGGCAACCAATATTTACTTTCTGTGTATTCAACTCCTCTTTGTTGTTGTTGTTCAGTTGCTAAGTTGGGTCCAACTCTTTTTACGACCCCATAGCATAGACTTCCGGGTCTGCCAGGCTCCTTCTGTCCATGGGATTTCCAAGGCAAGAATACTGGAGTAGGTTGTCATTTCCTTTCCTAAGGGATCTTCCCAATCCAGGAACTGAACTCGAATCTCCTGCGTTGGCAGGCAGCTTCTTTACCACTGAGCCACCAGGAAAGCCCTCAAATCCTCTGAAAATGAAAGTGAAAGTCACTCAGTCATGTTCGACTCTTTGCGACCCCATGGACTATAAAGTCCATGGAACTCTCCAGGCCAGAATACTGGAGTGGGTAGCCTTTCCCTTCTCCAGGGGATCTTCCCAAGACAGAGATCGAACCCACACCTCCCACATTGCAGGCGCATTCTTTAGCAGCTGAGCCACAAGGGAAGCCCTCAACTCCTCTAGGTACCTCCTGTAAATGGAATCATTCAATATTTGTTGTTGAGTAATTTTTAGATTCTTGCTCTGGTCATAATCTTAACCAGTCACTTGAAAAAACAAAAGAATTTTCCCATACCAACACAACATTGTTTGCAGTTTAATTAATGGTGCCAGAAATAAATGGGGCTCCAATTTT